ATTTCTACGCTGGACTTGTATGAAAAGTCTAAACAAATATACAAGTGTTTATTGCTACTCACTGTCTCCTCTCCTATCAATATCATTTCTAAAATAAGATCAAAGGGAGAAAGATTTTGATCATCAAAACTCGGCAAACTCCCAAATTGTATATGGTTGCGGTTATCAAAGTCAATCAAGTTTTAATCAACACCAAGAACCATAACTCCATGAATCTCATGGTCTCATAATGGGTGTCATTATATGATCACTGACAGTGCTGATATTAACCTGAGAATCTTGAATTGTTGTTCCTTTCATGTGTGTAACACTTCAAACAACAGATTGACAACTTTTCCTAGACCATTCTGTCAGATTATAGACACGAATCGATTCCCTACTGGTTCGAAAAACATGTCGTATCAGGAGAGTAGCCTTTTACAACAGTTTCTCCATCATCTAATTCGAGAGAAGAGTTTTCTTGTCTTAAAATGAAGGGTAGAGATCCGCAAGTTGTTATGATCAGATCAGTAGGCAAACAACATGAATTTTTGTGTTGTAGACGTTCATATTCAAACTCATTTTGAGTAGGCTAGGATTTTCGGGGCTGCTCCCAGCTCAAGATCAAGACAGTTATGTCGTCAACTCCGTAATTCAGCCAGCTTCATTTGTGACAAGTTCTAAGGAGCTTGGGATATTGCTTGGATGTCCTCTACTGTCCATGGTTTTACATCCTTAGAAATGTCAACCATAAATTTATTTAGAGCAACAACACTCTGCAACAAAAACTTCATTCTTCGCAATGCTTCACCACAGCCTTTGCACCCTGTAATCTTTAGAGTTTTCAGATTGTGGTGAACCATTTCTCCTGGAGGTTGAGGATAATCTTCCCTTTGCTCGTCAAAAATTCCATCAGATAATCCTGCGCATAGATATAACAGAATACACTTACATATGAATTTTGTTTAAAAAACCCTGTCACATTACTTCTTACATTGCGTTATGCAACCTAACGGGCCGTAAATATTACATAACCTTATGAATAACTCTGACACATTATAACTCTATGTTACTACAATATAATATGTGTTATTTCAATGTAAGCTACGTTATTTCAATATAAGCTCTAGAGACTTGAGAATATCCTTTCTTAAAACTTGAAGAAATTAAGTAATCACTTATGAATTGCTTGTTAAGCCTTCACGTCTTTTTGTGGTTATATCATTATGTGATTGTCAAATTATGACTATGATTATTAAAACGAATGTAATTATAAATGAGATATAAATTTATGATTATGTACTTAAGTATTCAATAGTGATACTTCCTAGTAAATATATTAGTTTGTATTAAATTAAAGAAATCCTATTAAAATATTTTTTGTTCCTAATTCTTAAATTTATTATGAATATCTTTATATTCTTTTAAACAATAAAATTTTGGTTCTTAATTGAGATGTTATGTTTGAAAATTTTGATAACTCTAATTATTTAAGTCATTATGAATAGAATGTATTTATAAAATATGTAAGTAATTAATAAACAAAATAACCTACGTTATGCGTTATGTCTTTTTGCGTTTTTTTTTTTTAAACCCTTAACATGAGGTTGAGTGTTATGTTATGTGTTATCAATATTTTCAATATTTATATGGAAATCGCTGATTATGATTAAAGACTACTAAATAACATGTTCTCATCCAATTATTGACAATGAATGAGATTTCAAGGACTTCAACTTTGGATAGAATCTGAGTACTTAGTGTAACCACATAGTTGTATCCACCACATAGTTGTATCCTCCATCAGAACTAAATAGAATTGTCCAAATAAAGTAAACTGTGAGCAAGATTGTTCAGGTGTAAAAATGGATTAAGAGATTTATCCACCCATTTATTTATAAGACAAGAAAGGGAAGATCTTAGAAGAGAAGGAAGTCAATTATCTTGTGGATGGCATGCATCTGGGTACAACTCAATATGACTTTTGTTTGCATACAGAATTCCTCATATTTCGGGTTTAGATTGGGAAATTCGCCTTTTTTTAGTGGTACAGTTGGTTAATTTAACTCAAGTCTAGAGGCTGGATATCTATGATATTCATATATATTAAAATGTAAAAATATAACCTTCAACCGTAACCATAACTTCGGTTAGTGTAATGGTTATGGACTTTAACATGGTATCAAAGCAACCGAGGTTTGAATCCCACTCACCATGAATTTAAAGTGAATTTTCTAAAAATTAACAATGTTGTGTAAGTCTAGGTTTCGACCCATAAAAAGGGTGCTTAACCAGCGGAGACATGTTAAAATAGAAAAATATAACCCTTAATTCTCACCGTAACTTTTGAGTTTTGGTGTAATGGTTAGGGACTTTAACATACAAATCCGAGAAATTCAAATGCCTCCATGTCTAACCAACAACCAAACCCCAATAGGATCTTTCTATGTTTTAAGCATATAGCATTTTCTATGATCAGTAAGAGTAAGCTAAATAATGGTGCTAGACATGTAAAAACTATACATTATACTATAGACTTCAGCGCACAAAAATACGGGGACATGATTTTTAATTAATAATTTTTATTATTAAGATTGTTGCTTAATATTCTCTAAAACACCTTCAGTCCAAAGTGTATTCGAAGGATAGCAATTGTAAGATCAACACTCTGTTGATGTGAAATTTAGGATATAAAACTACTACACGAGTTGAGTGAACATTAAAGTTGAAAAGAAACATTGAATTCAGACACTACTGGTACACATTCATAAGTGATAGCTAACAATAAAGTTTTACCATGTGAGAGCATGCTGAAATAGAATTAGACTCGTGGTAGAAGACCTCAAGGCAAATAACACTGCAAGAATTAGACTCGTGGTAGAAAACCTCAAGGCAAATAACACTGCAAGAATTAAATAGAGTACATAACATGGTAAGAGTGAAAAATTGAGGTTGGTACCACAAAATTCACATCCTCTCCCAAGCCTAATAACTCCTTTCCTTTTCTCCCAACCCCCTCTCAATTTCCAAGCAACAATGGTAGAAGCAAAAAAAAAGAATTGTTTAAAGCATAAATTGAAATAAATATACATTACCTAGAAGCATCACCCCTTTTGCTCCAATGAACAAACTTTTCTCTGTACTTTTTCCAATACCTCCCAATCCAAATGCTGTAAAGTAATAACATAATGATTCTTTCAAACAATCGAAGAAAAGTAAGTGCAAGAATATGAAGAAATGTAGAAGGTTTATTAGCGGAATCATGATACTTGAGGAAAGGAATTAACCTTATTCTTAAAAGAAAAAAATTATAAGATTTAAAGGACTACAGATTTTGAGAGAGCTTGTTCACAACGAGAGCATATATGATGAATATTTATAATAAAATTTACTAACACCGTAACACGTGTGACACATGCAAGGAAAAACCTAACACGTGTATAACATGCGCAAGATAGTTGTCCTGCTAAGATTCGTGCACCACACACGAGTTAGATGCTTTGAGTGGCAGACAAGGTTTGTTACTATAAGTCAAATCTTTTACAATCATAATAATTAATTTCTGGTTACGGACATGCCATAAATATTATTTATTAGTTTTCAGACGCATGTTATGCACCTTTGAGGTTAGAGGACTTTGCAGAAAAGTTATAATGAAATATTTTATTTTTAAGGTAAAAGGCAAATTTGGTATGGCATCATTCTCAAATTACTTCCCCTACTTTCTAATTTCTCTCAGTCCCTGTACGACACCTCAGTTATAAACTAAGTCCATTTTTAACATCCGTTTATGACCACATTGCCCTCAACTAAGTTCTTTATGTTTAAGGTTGTATGCCACAAGCTGGAAGGCGAAACAAGACATATTATGTGTATTTTTTGCATATTTCAATGAGACCAGACAGGTGGGTAATGCTTGGATTTTCAAAAATCCATCGCTTGTACTCTCTTTTTGCTCATTTTCTTGAAAATAGGTCTCTCGAAAAACCAACCATTTAATATCAAATTGTTTAAATTAAATCAAATAAAGATGCACTTCTGTCTATTTCTCAACGCAGAGAAAAACTTTTTAGAGTAAATGATACACCCTAACACTATAACACATAAGTTTCTCAATAAAAATTGGTTTACCGAAAAAAATTCTCAACTCGGATCAATATTTTGATTATATATAAAACCTTACACTATATCGCATACAAGTAACGAAAAAATAATTAATATCGAATGAATGTGATGAACCCTAAAAAAGAAACAAATAAAATTTTTGGATAATATAAAAATGCCTGAAAATCAATTTATGGATGAAATGCATGTGACGATTCACATATGCCTTTAATCATTTCATTGCTTCATATGTTTTTTATTCTTTTAAGGATAAAATATCCTGACTCGTTTGCTCTCTCTCATTTCGAAGAAAACAAACTGTGTGCCCACATAATCTTTTCTTTTAGGATATGATTCATGCACAATAATAGTTAGGGTAGTATAGTCCTTTCAATTTATATTTAACAGAATTTTTTAATAGAGTTAAATCAACCATTTAATATCAAATTGTTTAAATTAAATCAAATAAAGATGCATTTCTCTCTATTTCTCAATGCAGAGAAAAACGTTTTAGAGTAAATGATACACCCTAACACTATAACACATAAGTTTCTCAATAAAAATTGGTTTACCGAAAAAAATTCTCAACTCGGATCAATATTTTGATTATATATAAAACCTTACACTATATCGCATACAAGTAACGAAAAAAAAAAAAAATATCGAATAAATGTAATGAACCCTAAAAAAGCAACAAATAAAATTTTTGGATAATATAATAATGCCTAAAAATCAATTTATGGATGAAATGCATGTGACGATTTACATATGCCTTCAATCATTTCATTGCTTCATATGTTTTTTATTCTTTTAAGGATAAAATATCCTGACTCGTTTGCTCTTTCTCTCATTCCGAAGAAAACAAACTGTGTGCCCACATAATCTTTTCTTTTAGGATAATAGTTAGGGTAGTATAGTCCTTTCAATTTATATTTAACAGAATTTTTAATAGAGTTAAAATATGACAAAGTTTACATCTAAGAGGGGATAAGGGCACTAAATATGACTAAAAAGGGGGATAAGGGGACTAAGTATGCCTTAAAAAAGGGGACTAAGTTTACATCTAACAGGGAATAAGGGGACTACTAAGTATGCCTAAAAAAGGGGATAAGGGGACTAAGTTGAGAAATAAGAAAGTAGGGAGCCAACTTAATAACAAAGCCCTAGTACATGGACCAAACTGGCTGCTTTTTATTGTAAAATTTACTAACACATGTGACATATGCAAGGAAAAAACCTAAGACGTGTATAATACGCACAAGACAGTTGTCTTGCTTAGATTCATCATTCATGCACCACACACGAAATAGTGCTTCTGGTGGCAGACAAGGTTTGTTACTACAAGGCAATTCTTTTTACAACCGTTGTACTTAATTTATAGTAACGGACTAGCAATTATTATTATTTACTAGTTGTCATTAATATCATTTACTAGTTATCTTGCTAAGATTCATGCACCACAAACGAAATAGATGCTTCTAGTGGCAACGTTTGTTACTACAAGTCAATTCTTTTTACAACCGTTGTACTTAATTTATAGTAACGGACCTGCAATTATTATTATTTACTAGTTGTCATTAATATCATTTACTAGTTTTCAGATGCAGTTTATGCACCTTCGAGGTTAAAAGACTTTGTCGCACTTTTTAAGTGAATTAAAATGTTATTTTCATTATTACTAAATAATTGCAATGTTTAAATAATTATATAAGAAACATAATTATATTTTTATAGGAAGTTTAAGCTACCCTAATGCTTATCTAAATTCATGTGTAGTATTTGTTATCTCAAAGAGAGAGAGAGAAATTAAGAAGATATGATAAACTGATACTTATAGAAGTGGTTATCTAAAAAGAATAATTGAGGATAATTTAATTCTTACATAAATTTAACTATAACAAGATTTATTTAAAAAGAAAAAAAAATTGCAGTAAATTGTACTGATTTGTATGCCTGCCCAAAAAAGGAGACCTCAATTTAGAAAGGAATAGTAAAGATGTTTGTACTAATATTCTAATATTAACTAACAGTATTGCCATTTGAACAAAATTGACATGAAACTGTTTTAGCACATTGCCTCTTTACGACAAAGGCTTTAATACTCCAGAAGCATAATTAGCACTGTCACTCTTATGAAAATACATGATAAGCTATGAAATTAAATGACCTACTCCTAAATTCTAAAAGTTATAAAAAATATCACAGATTTTATGACTTTTCACCATGCATTAAGAGGTGGAAATTTTGATCTTTTTTGCAATAAGAAAACTATTCATAGGTTGTGAAGTCTCTTCAGCCATGTTGTTGGATGGATAACTATTCATTTTTACAGCACTTGTTACATAGTTAAATGTCATAAAAATACATGAACTTTTGTTTATTAAAGTTCAGTAACATTTAGACACTAAGAATAGAATCTGTTGCATATCAGGTGCAAGGTTATCGATAGTGGATAGCGTCACATAGCGGTGAGGCATCGCTAAGACTATTTGGGGCTATTGTGGCAAAATAACGGTAAAAAGTGTAAAGTCAAACAGCGGTCTAATTTAGATATGTATAAATATTCAAAAAAATTAAAGAAATATCAAGAAAATCTAAAAGTGCATATGTGATGATTTAAAGAGATCCTAAACATGAAATAGACATATACTCGTCGTCTTCTTCGAAAAGTACATAATACCAAAGATGACTGGAGTTAAAAAGTCATCATCTTCGAAAAGAGGAGCTGAGCGGTGACAGAACTGCAGTAGAAGGAGCTCACGACGAGAGGAGGTGAGAGGAAGTGTTGAGGGAGGTGTTGGAGGCTGTGGGAGGCTGCGGGAATTCGCCAAAAATCACGGGAGGCGGTGGGATGTACTAGTTGTTGGTCGGGTTTAATTTTTAAAAAATAAACCTCAAACCGCTTTTAAATAGCGGTCAAAAAGCGAATTTCGCCCGCAATAACCTGCTATTCACCGCTATGACGTGTTATTGACCGCTTTTGCGAGTGAAAAGTACATATTCTGCAAAATATCACCGCTATTGGGCGATAGTGTAGCAGGAACAGACCGCTAACACTATTAGCGCCGTTGTGGCGCTATTTATAATAGTGATTAAGTGGCAATAAATAAACAAGTTATGCCGAAATGTATTAAAGCTCCTACTTTATATGTAAAATAAATTATTATTTTTGCTAATTATACATCATTATAATTTTAGTGGAATTTTCAGGATGAGAACCTAGTAGAATAATAATTGATCCAAAACCAACCAGAAAACCTACATTAAATCCAAAAAAACATGGAAGAACCTCTAACATCTCAGAATTCATATTAGGATGATACACGAGAAGTTTTGAGCTTGGATTGGAGTCTGGTTCAATCTTACATCTCAACAGCCTCGAGGCTCTTGACTTCTATCATGATCCTTTTGATGCCAGTTTAAAGTCTCATCTCAAAAACAAAAGCGTTTTTGTTTCTCTTTATATCAAAATTCCTTGGAACCCTACAGTGTAGAGACACTTCTTGCTTAGAATGTCAGTAGTTAAACATTTGATTGGCATTGAAGGAGGAGGGGTCAACATCAACATCAGATTTAAGTATGGAGTGAATGCACGAGAGAGAAGGGTGGTGGCGTTTCATGTCGAAAGGTAATTGAATATTTCAATTGAAATTTCACGTATTGTGAAAAGCTTTAGACACATACTTTACCTTACTAACACAACCATAAGGACAACAAATATTTTGTTTAATTTTTAAATAGAAAAATGCTACATTGAATGTATTTCTCTGGATTACAATCAGACTCGAGGTTATATTATAGTTATCCAATCCTCGATGTATTATGCATATGATTGTTCATATGCAACCTATAAATATCTGTGTATAGAAAATAATGTATCTCCCGTACACCACAACAACTACTTGTCGGGAAAACAAACAAACAAACACTACATATTAATGGAAACCTGTATTTTAAAGAAATTTAGCGTTTCCTTATAAATTCCAATTTAAGAGTCTGACTTCATTTCGGAGGCCCACAACAAAATTGGGAGGCCCACAACGACCTTTGGATCATAAAAATAAGGATAAATTTTTAAATTTGACCTATTTAGAAAATTAATTGCAAAAATCGACATGTTTTGAATTTAATTACCAAATTCGACTCAGATTCAGCCAACTGGTCGAAACTGGGTCGAATTTGAAAAAAAAAAAACTTACGAAACTTCACGGGTCCCGTGAAGTTTAAGCCCCTGTTAAACTTAGTTTATACAATTTCACAATTTCACGGGACCTGAAGTCCCATGAAACTTCTTTACCCGCCAGCTTCACGGGACTTCAAGTCCCATGAAGTTCAGGCCGGGCCTATAAAAGGCCCACGCGATTACAGATCGCGTTACCCCTCTCTTCGTCTTCATTCCACCACAAACCCTAACCCCTTTCCTACCGCCGCCCGTTGTTAGCTACTAATAACTTGGCTGGCACCCGTCCTGCCAATATAGTAGAAAAAGTATACTACCGTCATACACCGTCGGTGATCAATCCCACTGTCGTCACCGCCGAAGTTTACCATAAATTAGGGCATCGACAAATTTTAGGTAAAACCTTTAAAAAAATTCCTCCTAATTTTTTATATATTCTCACTATTTCATGCTAATAACTTATTTAAATCTAGATTTTGAAATAAATCTTTAAATATTTATGAATTTTATAAAGTAAAGAAATTTGTGTATGAAGTTAGAAGGGAAATTATCAAAAATTGTAATGGTAACGATGATTGTAAGGAAATTATTGAAATTATCAAAAAATTTCATAAAGGTTTTACATTTAGTTAAAATTATGGATGTCTAAAATCGATATTAGAGGATTTAATTGTTTTCATGTATATTGTTGGGAAATTGTGTGTATATTGTTGGGAAATATGTGTGTATATTGTTGGGAAATTGTTTTCGTGTATATATTGAATATAAAAAACAGAAGAAATTTTCACTGTAGACTCATTCCAATATTTAATCCCTAAAACTGATCCACTTTAAAGTTATTTATACGAATCGACCCACTTTGAGTTAATTGTTGTACTAATTAGTAGGGGTTGCCAACCCCGACTAATTAGTAGCCTAATTAGCAGCCACAAACCTTCCCTGCTCCCTAGCCCTGCTTGTAATTAGGCTACTAATTAGTCGGGGTTGGCAACCACGACTAATTAGTACCGTAATTAACTCAAAATAGGTCGATTCTCATAAATAAATTTAAAGTAGGTCGGTTTTAGGGATTAAATCTGGGATTGGGTCTACAGTAAAAATTTCTTCATAAAAAACATGCACAGAACATGTGCATGTTTTTTAAAACCTGCAACTCCACGGGACTTCGGAATTTCCAGAGAGCATTGCTCTATGGAAATTTCATCTAAAACATCACGGGACTTCAAGTCCCGTGATATTTTGTACATAACAAAACTTCACCGGACTTCAAATCCCATGAAGTTTTGTTTTGCTCCATTGAATCGCCTTAATTTCATAATAACAACCCGCTTAAACTTCACGGTGCTTGAAGTTCTGTGAAGTTTCGTAAGTTTTTTTCAAATTCGACCCAGTTTCAGCCAACCAGTTTCAGCCAGTTGGCTGAAACTGGGTCGAATTTGGTAATTAAATTCAAAACAGGTCAATTTTTGCAATTATATTTCTAAATAGGACAAATTTGAAAATTTGTCCTAAAAATAAAGGTTTAAATTCTATATTAAGAGGGACGACTTCGGTGGGCTATATTATGTTTTACGATCCTTTAATTATATCAAGATATAGAATCCTTTCGAAAAAAGATCATAAAATATATAACAGGAGAGTGTAATGAATTAGAAAAATAGTGCCGTGCGATATTCACATGCAAATAAATGTCTCAAATTCTTAAGAAAGCGAGATCTTTTCGACATTTTACCATTTATGTTCTAAGAATACTTCAAAATTACTAACAACCTTCTTTATATCAGCAACACAAGGAACTGCTTCACTGAACATCTGTTATATTTGGAATGAATCCCTGCTCAATAAATAATGGATTGTTGCAATTCCACATCAGAATTAACTAGCTAAACAACGAACCAAATCATTTGCAGACAGATTAGTAAAAAAAAAATAACCACAACCATTCTGATATAAAACGCAGTTACCTGTGCCAGAAAGTCGAGGATTTGGTTATCGTCATGGCGATGATATTCTTTCTAGATTCGAATTAGTCGCCGACTTCGAACCGACCGCTAATCAGACCCAGCATTGAAGGAGGAGGAGAGAGAAAATGGAGGAGATAGAAAGCTTTGGAGGCCATTGGGATTTCGAGTTGAACTTGCGGAAGGGGAAGGGAGCGAGGGGCGCTTTCCTTTCCCCTAAATCTCATTTTGTAGGATTTCTTCAGCTATAGACCCCCCGGTATTTTCGTATTTATTATCGCATTTAGCATTTTTATATTGGGTAATTTAGGGCTTGTTTGGATTGAGGGGAATGAGGGTGAAGGGAAGTTAGGGGAACCATTCACTTCCATTCATCTTGTTTGGGAACACTTAGGAGGTGAAGTTAATTCACCCTAGTTCTCCTTGGTTCACCCCCTAATAGTATAAAAATTGTTACCCCCAAATTGGGGTGTAACCAAGGGGAAAAGAATTCTCTTCCCTTCCCTTCCCTTCACTCAGTTTCTCTTAACTTCCCTTCACCCCCTACAAATCCAAACAGGCCCGAAGTACAAATTTTCAAAAGAGCCCTAATTGCAAACTTATTTCCTGAAAATGATTCTTTTCAACTTTATTTGTCAAAACCGACCTGATTTCAGCCCTGGTAACTTTATTTGTCAAATCAGACATGGTTTCAACCCCAGGGCTGAAACCAGATCGGTTTTGACAAAAAAATCCCAAAATTTAAAAAAACTTCACGGGACTTGAAGTCTCGTGAAGTTTCAAAGTTCAAAAAACTTCACGGAACTTCAACTCCCATGAAGTTTCAAAGGTAAAAAAACTTCATGGGGACTTGAAGTCCTATGAAGTTTAAGCTGAATTTTCACACTCTGGAAATTCAACCTGTAACTTCACGAGACTTCAAAGTCCCGTGAAGTTTCAAAGGTAAAAAAACTTCACGGGACTTGAAGTCCCGTGAAGCTACAGGTTTTAAAAAACGTGCACAGTAGGTTGTGCATGTTTTTTATATACGCAACGTAACTCCTAAATGCATTACACAACAAATATACATGGATTTTTCACCATGAATCAATCGATTTACATGATTTTTCACCATGAATCAATCGATTTACATGAATCAAACAATATATATTGAATCAGTTAATAATCACGAAAATACACATGTGAGCAATAATCGATCTCAAATACACTGAATTACAATAATATTCTTAAAATTCAGCTATGAATTAAACACGAATCAAACAATACTCACGAAGATCACATATATAAATAATAATTGATCCACAAAAGCATAGTATTTAAAAAATCATAAAAGTTACAAAATTTAACAAAATAAGATCACATACAACCCAAAATTCCTCCTCTCCTTCCTCTCCCTCTCTTCCCCCTTTTCCCTCGCTCTTTCCCGTCACCGGTGTTCCTGTTGATGAGCCTCGATTATCTGAGTGCCTGATTGTGTATGAGGTTGAGAAGTATCGGCTCCATCAGCATGCGAAGTGGTGGCTCCATCGTCGTCGTCACGTGGCCTATATCGTCGCGTGTATATTTGCCCAAATGATCGAGACTTGTCCTTACGGGCTGCAAACTCATCGACATGAGTCTTATGAAACACATGTGCTATTCTCTGCTTGACAAATAAAGCTAAACATAATCGAATATTCTCTAGAATTTATAACCCCAACTAACCACAGGGTGTAATATTAACATATTTGTGCAATTTGAAGAACTAATATAAAAAAATAAAAATTTTCGAGACTAATAACAAAATACTAATGATTTAAGAAGCTAATATGGAGAAAACTCATTTAGTATTAGTCCATCAAATCTTCAATAGTTTCACATTTGTCTCTTCTATCTTAGAAATTGCTCATTAACTCAAATCTAAGAGTTCTTTCCTTTTGTCATTCAGTGATCAAAAATTGTAAGGATCATAAATTTTGCTACTGGTTAAAATAAATTTTTTTGTATTTTAAAATATTTAATTATTATTTTTAAAAGAGTATTTGTATTTTTTCGGTTTTCTAGAAATTTCTACGGTTTAAAAGTCCAAGTTTTATATTTATTCAAATGATTTAGATATTTATAAATTTATTTAGGCAGTAAAAATTTCTAGAATTTATCTGTTGTATTATTGATACTATTATATACTATTTTAAATAATACATTATATTATTGTTACTATTATATATTATTTCGTGTATTATGATGTATTATTAATTATGTATTATTTGTGTAATTATTATATTATTTCTACAATTGCGTATCAGCTGTCGTGTTAGTACAACTGGTACATTTTATCGTGTAGATAATTATCCTATAATTATTTGATTTTAAATATAAGTAATTATATTTATTATTAATTATTCTTGTTTAATTATACAATTTATTGTATTATTTCTACTTTTTTGTATTATCGGTTATATTACTATAACTGGTACGTTTTGATGTGTAGTTAATTTTTATGTTATTATTTAAATTTTTTCGTGATTATTATTATTTTTAATTAATTTTCAAAACCCTAAAATTCTTTATATATATATATATACATATATATATATATAATATATATATATAATATATATATATATATATTATAATATATAATATATAATATATATATTATATATATAATTTTTCCTCTCCTCTTCTCTCTGTTCATGTTTCAGCCATCACCCTCGAAATCTCTCTCTTCCCCCTGCTTCTCTCATCTCGTGTTTCTCTATCCGCCCAGTCCCGCCTCCAGCTGTTGTCCGACCAGCCACCGCTGCCTTGGGCCAACGTTGACTCCAGACCGCCTCCGCCTCTTCCCACCTGCACCCGCCCAGCCGCACGAGTATAAAACATAAAAGTGAACGGCGCCCCCCCCGTTGCCCGCTGCGCGTCGGGCCACCAGCGCTGCCCCTCCTCACTCGAGATCCTGAACCAGTTCCCTAAGTCGCCCGTTGACACGGCCACAGAGAGCAGGCAGCGACGCGCCGCCATTTCCCAACTTGACTCATGCGGATCTCCACAGCAAGATCAGGCCCAGATACCGCCAGCCCCCCTGTCCAGCTCTCCTACCCGAGCTCTATCAGTCCGTGCTCCGCCTCACTCCGACCGCCCAGGCCCATCAGCCTGCAGCCGCATTCGGCGACCAACTCGGCCACCTTCATCACCACCCCGCCCCTAAATCTCAGACCACTACCTGTAGCACCCCACCTCGACGCTTTCCTCATTGTTCCCTGCCCGCGCCGTAAGCTCGCTCGGCGCATGCTGAGACTCCGACCTGACGTCGCCAGCCACCCTCAATCCCATCCGTAACAGCCCCCCCGAGCTCCGCCCTTTCCTCTGCTGCTCCTCTCCCCTTAGATCCAGCCCCCTCTCCTTCTCCTCAACCCGACGCCACGCCGACCCCTTGGTCCAGATCAGCCGTCGTCGTCACCGTCAAATCCCCCTACAGTGACGCCTCAACCCCCTGACCGAACCACTGCCCTCTCTTCAAATCCGTCGGACAACACCCGCATCGGCGCCGTCGCCTCATCCACAGACCCCTTGGTCTCGTAGGCAAGATCCTGCTTCCCTTTGACCCGTCAATTCAATTTTTGGATCTGCTGCGAATTATTTGTATTGTAATATGATTAGTTATAACTTGTATATTGCGATTATCTGCATGGGACTATTGATGACGATATTAAATAATTTCAAATGATAAATTGATGTTTTTCTAGATTAATTAGAATTATTATTATGAGAAATAATTTTTAAAATAGTTTATTTTGAAAAAATGGTTTAATTTGAATTATTATAATAATAAACAAGTTAAAAGAATTTATTTTGGAAAATGGGTTAGTTCTGAATAATTATAATGTTAAATAATTTTAAAGGAATTTTTGGAAAATGGATTATTTTTAAAGGAATCTATTTTGGAAAAGTTTATTTTTGGAATTAATAAATTTATGATCATGATGATTGGAAATTACGATATTTTATGTGTAATTATTTGATAGTTATAGTTCCATCTTGCACTGTTATTAGTAGTTGTTCACGTTTCCTATTCATGATTCATGACACTGTTACATAGTATTCATTGCATTTATCATCCCTTATTATAATTGAGAATCGTTAGGAGTTTATGACTAGAGTAACATGTGTGACATGAATAAGACCTTGAGGCTTGTGTATTGTTGACTTAAAAAAACGAGAAGAGATGTTAGGGTGGGAAAGTCTTTGTTCATGTAATAGGATAAGGCTGTTGATATATCTTCCATGCTCGCACCAGTGGATCGATGTCGCCACTGGGGTTGGTTTGTTGGGTCAAAGTAGATCGGTGTCCCTACTTTGGTCCGTGAGTTTGATATTCACCCGAGTTTTGCTTGAGTCCGGACCAGACTAAAAACGGATTGCGTGTAGTCCTCTGACCGAGTTTGTGTAGCGGTATTGGATACACGTAGGGGATTTGTGAACAGTCGATTATCCGATAATATGAGCGTTGACTCTGTGTGAGATGTGAATCAGTGACCTGTTAAGGATGGCTAGTTACATGACCTCGTTTCTTGGTTAGGTATGGTTTTCTTATGAGATGTAGGCCAGTTGTATTTTTTCATACATAGATCAGAGTTAATATTTAATTATTTGCAATTTGATTATTTGAGACATATGGTATATACATGAGGGTTTCTTTGTTTGGATTATTTCGCTCGACATACTACGTCTCTTGTTGTAGATTTTTAAGTATTAATTCCATCTAGTTATATGACCCTGTTACTTGGATGATTATTTTGATAGCTTGTTACATGATCGACTTGTTGGTTGATTTTGTTGGATTTCCAGTTGCACGTTTCTCTGTCATTTCTGTTGTTGTATCGTTTTATGCATTAGGTTTTCGTTCGTTCTTTTCGTTTTGTGGGGTCTTGCCGTGTGCCATGCACGCTGACGTACACATATTTTCTCTGGTGTACGTCAGACTTAGAGGAAGGACAAGTCCAGCTTAGAGATGTGCCAGAGCCAGGATATTCTTAGCAGGAGTGCCTTGCAGACCGAGCAGAAGAAGCCAAAGTTTAGTTATTCCCTTTAGTTGTTTGATTGTCTTAGCTTACTTTTGTAGCATTTCCTTTTCTGCTTGATCATTGTATTTTATATTCTCCAGTATTTCATTAAGATAGTTTTGTATGATGGCATGTTTGACCCGTATATTAAGTCTTGGATGATATTCATTTGTAATATGGATCATTTTGTTCTGTGTGTTATTCATTATATTCTCGCTATTGTGATCGAGGAGCTGTGACTTCGCATTTATTTTGCTTGACGTTTTGCGTATTAGGTTAAGAAAAAATGTTTATTTTCATTTCTTCTTCTTAATCTAATACGTTGCAGGCTTGTTCACGTTCCGATTTCCTGGTATTTTGGAAAGCGGGGCGTGACAAAAGTTAACATATTTTTCAGAATTTTGATACCTAGCTTTCTATTCCTATGTACGCCAATATTTACACCTTTTTAACTTCAATATCTTAAAGTTTCTTTTGACACAACCTAAAGTTTCTTTTGACACTTTGATGCCCCAAAGCTTATACGCTTTTTATTTTCCTACCCAATATTTCGACATTTTTAAAACTTTGATGCCTCTAATTTTACATATTTTTTTGACTTTGATGCCCTGAGTTTAGGGTATCAAGGTGTTAAAAACAAAACTTTGATGTATCAAAGTTAAAAAAGGCATAAACGTTTTTTTTTAACAAAGTGTTAGAAAAAACTTTAAAAGTATCAAAGTCAAAATAGTTAAATTTTAGGGTATTAAAGTGTCAAAAACATGTGGATGCTATAGGTAAAGAAGGCATAAATTTTCTAACACCAGAGTAAAAAAAACCATTTTTCGTAAAAGAAGGGTTTCGGGCTGGGGCATAATTTTGTGGTATATTTGTCATTGAAGGGCCAAATTTTAAGATACCTTATGATTTGAGGGATTAATTGCAATTTCAAAGCTTTGAGGGACTACCATAGTATTATTGAAAGTTTGAAACTTTTTTCTTCCAATTATATCTTAGTTAATTACAAATTACGCACAAGGGGGGCAGATGAGATAAAGTTCAAGTTCAGGGGGATTTGTGAGATAAACAAACTTTAGGGGTTCATATGTAATACCCTATAGAGTTCAGGGGGTTATATGAAATTAACCATATTTTCTATTAAAACAATTAATAAAAATGTTACTCCGTAGGACCTCCGGAACTTAGAGTGTTATGCACATAACCCTCCTTATTATTTTTTTTGTCCAGTAAACCCCTTAATCTTTCGCTAGCCCCCCCTGAACTTTTCCACTTTTATCAATCAACTTCCTTAATGGCACATGACGAGTTAAATTGAGAGAAGTAACACACGTCGCTGCAGGTGATCTAAACATGTGGGTCATAATCTGCAATGCGAAGAACCAACAACCCCCATATTGTATTCAAATTCATAAATTTTCACCGTCAAAAACTCAAACTGATTCGGGGTCCCAAAATTTACCATTTGAGACAAAACAAAGGTACTTTTCAACGGGTTTAAAAAAAAGAATTAGTCAGCATTTTTTTCATTTTCTCAAACGGAAGAAAAAAAATCCGCAATTTCATAGAGAGAGAGAGAGAACGAAATGAGCTGCAAACGGCATTTTCAACAACGGTAAAAAAATAGGTAAATAATATTTAAAAGAGAAAAAAGTTAAAAACGAAGAAATTGTCATTTATATTCATATTTTATCCCTTTTCTGGAGAAAGAGAAAAGGGTTGTAAATAGGAAAAGGGGCCGAATTCTTCAACTCTTTCGGCCATTGGGAAGGAAGGGTGAAGAACAATGGATGCTCTAAGGAGACAGGCGAGCAAGTTCAGAGATCAAGTTGCTAAGCAACAGCAGGTAACAAAGATTCCCTTTTCATTGATCTGATCTCATAGAAAAATCCCATATGAAAGAGACCCATCTTATGAATTTTCGAGATTTGTTGATTTTCCACTTGTATTTGAGCTTGGAATTGTGTTGATCACGTAATGGGTGGGTTCTAAAAGAGAACCATGTTTTATTTTTGGGGATTTTGTTGATTTCAGCTGTTTTGGGCTTGGATTTATATCAGTAACAGAATGAGTCGGTTAATATTTAATTTTATGGATATTATTTAGATTTTAGCAAGGGAAGGATCCCAAAGCCTGCTTGAGTTTCAGTTAGCTTAACCAAAATTGAGTAATTATGTCAAAATCATGAAACTATAACATTCCAGTGGGTAAAGAGAAAGAAAGGAAACTTTATTTGTTTGCTTTTCTTAGAAACATTGTTTTGTTCATTTCTGTGTTTATTAATACTTGTTTGTCTCTTTTATAATTATGGTATTAATCTGTGCACGCCACATTTTGTTTTCCCCATTTTCACTGTGATAAATTTTGGGGTGTTACTATGAAGACCGAGATTGCTTGCTTTGATATGCTGTAATCAATACAGAGTTGCAGGCCACAAGCTTTTGAAGTTCAAAGATGCTTTATACATACATTTAATTTTAGTTTCATGAGTATATTTTGTCCTTCTTGTACTGTTTTTAGGTGACTCAGTCCGTCACTCATTTGATACCATCAATCTACAATTTCACATCAATCAAAAGTAAACCATCGCTTTGCATTCAAGACAAAACCTAGGCAAGTAATAGGTGCTGAAAAGCCACAAGTGTTGTGATGTTGTTATATGCTTACATGTTATTTGGAAAGCGAGTATGATATAAGTAAAAGTATAATCTCGTGAATGTTGGGTCTTAGCACACAGTTAGACATTAGACTGTTGATATAAGTTGGCCAAGGCATTGTAATTACCTGCAAAATACATTTTACATGTTCTGAAGGCAGTTAGAAATGTCCTCAATCTAAACCGTTTTTCCATGCTAACTTTTCGTGGTATGTAAGATTAGTAATCACCTCACTGGGTACACATGTGAAGGTTCACATGACATAAGGAGGATATCAGATTATACAGTCCGTGTTGCTGAAAATTAAAACTTGCATCGTCAATGATGACCTTGTGACTTCAATGTACATAGTGGTGATAAGATAAAACTTTTTATAGACAATATTGGCTGTGTGGGCATCTTTGCATGTGTATATGCATGCATATGTTATATCATAGCATCTAACATGTGATCATAACAAAGAATGCAGATATTGCACAAATTTCTCCATGCTGGGAAACTTGGCTCATAACTTGCAGCATGTCTTGTCGAGTACATCACATGATTAAATCATGTCCTTTACTCATATGCATTGAGTTTTCAGATTGGTTATTTATTTTCAGATTTTTTAATTATTATCTACTTTAAAAATAAGCTGTTATTTAGTTGTTTGATAACCAAAGGGCTTTTTCTCACTTGGCAATACCATTTTATTTCAGGCTGTAATAAAGCAATTTAGCACAACTGGGTATGAGAGCTCTGATGTTATAGTCATAGACGAAGTTGAATTGCAGCGGCATCAACAGTTGGAAAAGTTATACAGGTCTACTCGTGCAACAAAAGTAAGAAATCATCAATCCTCTCTTTTTTTATTTCATTATTCTTAGTTTGAGCCCCTTCTGGAGTCTCGTATCTCATGTATTGGTTGAAATAACCAATAGTTATCTCCAATGTTTTTTGATTACTATATTCTAAAAGGTGTCTCAGGGCATGCCATTTTCTACTGGTAATAAAGTCGAAGATGACTATGGAAGTAAAACCCACACAGTGCTTAGAAAATTAATTGTACAAAAGTATATATCGTCATTCATGTGTTTATCGTCAGGTGAGTGTGTTTGAAAGAAATTTTTTATTAAATAAGTGAAGGTAGACCGGATGAACATCGGAACATGCAATGGGATTTTGTTTATAGTAAAGGAGCATACTTTTGATTGGAGATGATGGGTAGAAAGAAGATGCATAACATAAATTAGAACCCTTTAATGAGAACATTTCTAGCGATATCTTAAAGGATGCTTGGAAAGCTTATGTAGATTTCTTCACTAGTTTTTACCTAAAATTTAGTGCTCGTTAGATTCAATGATGGCGATTGTTTTTCTATATCTGGCTTTCATTTTCTGCAGGATTTCCAGAAGGATATTATTCGAGCAACTGAAGCCCTTGCAATTATAAACAGTAAACATGTGGAAGTAGGTAAGAAGTTCTACACATTGCCTTTATGATTTTATGGTAAATTTATTGGCAGTTGAATCACTAATTTGTGGATAACTTGAGAAACATTATTATATTTCTGAAAAGCTTCTGTGTCAATAGGTACAAAATTGACAGAGGACTGTTATAAATATGGAGGTGAAAACATTGCTAATGAGGGGAACCTAGCCAAAGCTGCATCTTTATATGGCGGCGCAATTGCACATATTGAGCGAGAATATGAAGACTTGAATAAGTTGTTGTCTTCACAGGTATGGTGTCTTATATAGCTGTCTAAATGAATATGGAATTGGCTTAAGTCAGAAGCAGCTATTTTACATATAATATTATTTGCCAATCATTGTCATATATTTATCTGGGAAAATTATTGTAAGCACGTGTAGTATCTAGAAGAAGTAGTTGTGGGTGTCATGTTGCTGCATGACATAAATTATTATGTTTGTGGTTTCAGTAAATGATATGAATGTCTTTTCATGATGAAACTGGAAAAAAGTTATCCAAACGAAACAATTTCTCTCGATGTGTGTTTCATTTTATCCCTTGGTTTCGTGATTGACTCTATCTTATGTATCATCTAGATTCAGTTTAAGGCTTCAAATGCAACTGTTTTCTGTAAAATCTGCACTCAATACTGATAAGTTTCAAGAAAATCACTCTTTAATACTTATATGATTTTGGATCCACTTATACTTACCAAAGAAAGTTGAGATGACAAAAATATTCATTATGGGCATGTCTTTTAAAGCATCAATATCGTAGATGATCTTTAGGCATCTATATGTGCATCCATGACTGCATAAGCACACAAACAATCCACTTATATTATTTATCAAGAAATAATATGATTTGTTAACGATTCATTCGTGAACGTGCTCATTGTAGCAGCTATAATCTCATTGAGTGATATAAGGGCATCTAGACAAACATGGTCTTTTAGCTTCTTTTCCCCTCATCTTTTCTAATACTTAATAACTCCTGAGATTTTGGTTATTTCTACACAGATCCTCCGGTTTCATAAAAGTTTTATGAACTATTTATTGAGTTACTGCAAAAATTTTAATAAACAGGTTTGCAGTGAGTTCCTGATCAAGTAGATTCAACATTTTATTAGACCAGGAGTATTCATTTGGAACTAGCCTCAATACAGTGGTTTTTTCTTTTAATTATCATTGTAGCAACACAAACGAGTTTTTTTAGAAGAACTCTTTCTGTTGGCATCATGTTTAGAACGGGCATTATTTGTTACCACATCTACTTCAGCATCTCAATTCAAATTACAATTTTATTGTTCCTTTGTTGTTTTTAGATTACAGAACCTTTAAGAGCTATGGTAACTGGTGCTCCCTTGGAAGATGCTCGTCACCTTGCTCAACGTTACAGTCGAATGAGGCATGAAGCAGAACAAATGGTTGTAATTCTTTTTATTTCTTCTTTTATCTTATTTGTTTATTTGTTGTTGTTGTTGTTGTTGTTGTCATCTCCGTCATTTTTTAATTTTTTTGTCATGGATATGATTTCAGCTTCATCGTTCTTATCTTTTATTATTCTCAAAATCTATACAGGCCTCAGAAATTTCGAGAAGACAAACTCGTGTAAGAGAAGCATCCATCTTAGAGAACACAACAAAACTGCAGGCATCTGAAGCTAAAATGAAAGAACTCAAATCAAACATGGCAGTCTTGGGAAAAGAAGCTGCTACTGCACTATCTGCTGTTGAAGCGCAGCAGCAAAGGCTGACATATCAACGCTTAGTTGCTATGGTATGAATTTAGGGCATTTTTTCAAGGACAATCTTGTAAATTCACCAATTTACCATTCTTTCTCGTTTATTTATTTATTTATTTTTGGCGCATTGAAGGTAGAGGCAGAAAAATCATTTCACCTAAGACTAGCTGCTATTCTAGATGATGTGGAAGCTGAGGTATCTTTCCTTTTACCTTTTACAAGTAGAATGGTCAGTAATTGTAAAAATAAAATTCTCTCTTTTCTGATGGCAAACTTGTGTAGATGAACACTGAGAAGCAGAGAAAAGAATCTTCACTTCCTTCTCCATCAATCCCAAAACGCTCTGAGAAAGCTACATATTTTCTGGCTGAGGTAACTATTTACAATTCAAGTTCCATACTGATAATTTTGTACTTGCTTGAGGTGTTAATTTGTGTACCTCTTATACTTTATGGTCTCAGGCAACCCATGCTTTCAATGCTGCTTCTGAGAAAGAATTGAGTTTGTCTCCTGGAGATTATGTTGTTGTTCGACAGGTTAGAAACCAACTTCCCCCGCTAAAAAACTATCCTTTGGTCTGAGTTGTATATTCCTTCAACATGATGAATACTTAGATTTGTTAGTTAAACATATATTTTCTTTTTAAGAGAAAAGGCCACACAGAAAAAGTTTCTATTGAACTAAACTGTAATTTAGCATTTCTATCATTCTGATCCTTGTTTGACAGAACAGTGTTTCCTTATGAGGGATTACCGTTTAGTGACATGATTTAATCTAGGGTTTTTATTTTATTGGACCCCAATTTTATTAGTTCTATATTAGACCCTCAAATCTTCAAATTTCTAAATTAGACTCGTAAACCCATTTAGTTGTTTAAATAAGACCCCAAATCTGTTAAGCTGTTATAAATAAGACCTTCAAATCTATGAAGTTCATTTGAGCAAATATGAAGGTTTGGAGGTCTAATTTAGAAATATGAAGATCTGAGGATCTAATATGGAATTAACAAAGACTTGGGGATCTAATATAACAAAAACCCTTTACGATACGATAATTCCACTGGTGACTGGTATGATATCCTGTCATTTGAAAATTCAAGAAAAATAAGTTGCACAATCGAGGATGGGAGTCTCATTCTGAAATTTCATTAACTTATTTCAAAAACCCTTTACGATACGATAATTCCACTGGTGACTGGTATGATATCCTGTCATTTGAAAATTCAAGAAAAATAAGTTGCACAATCGAGGATGGGAGTCTCATTCTGAAATTTCATTAACTTATTTCAAAAACCCTTTACGATACGATAATTCCACTGGTGACTGGTATGATATCCTGTCATTTGAAAATTCAAGAAAAATAAGTTGCACAATCGAGGATGGGAGTCTCATTCTGAAATTTCATTAACTTATTTCAAAAACCCTTTACGATACGATAATTCCACTGGTGACTGGTATGATATCCTGTCATTTGAAAATTCAAGAAAAATAAGTTGCACAATCGAGGATGGGAGTCTCATTCTGAAATTTCATTAACTTATTTCACACTATCTCAATTGCTTTGCCCTTTATTCAATTTTGACATGTATTTTGCCTTTTCGCCTGAGTTATTGATGATTTTGCATTGCCAACACAGGTAAGTCCATCGGGATGGTCAGAAGGAGAATGTAAAGGCAAGGCCGGGTGGTTTCCTTCATCTTATGTCGAAAGACGCCAAAATATTCCCACAAACAAAGTTTTCTCTCATGACTTTTAGTTGCTTAGACCCTGAACTGCAAGTTTGTAACTCAGTACAGTTTGCTTTTGAGAGAATTTCTTGTCTGGAGGATGGACCTTTTGTTATGTTGATACTTTCATGATGTAACCTGTAAAATAGGACATCTAATGTTAAACGTTTGTTGTATTCTTTGGGCGCATGATTTGTGTATCAAACAAAGCTCTTCTTTCCTTTTTCAGGTCAGTTTTAAGATCATTGTGATGTCTCTGTATCTTGCTGAGCTCTTTATCTTTTCGGTTCATCAAATTGTTATTCTTGTCCGAGACTGCTCGTAAGAATGAATATCTGCTCCAGAATTTTCCCCTGCGGTTGCTTTAGAATTACAAATTCTGTCATTGTTTGCTTCAGAATTACGAAAGGCAGAAAAAATAATAATAATAAATAAAATAATAATAATAATAATAAATAAAATAATTAATTAAAAATATTTGTTTAAAACAATGGTAGTGCACCTTCCCACATGGGGTCTCACAACAATAAGCAATAATTTAATTACCATGATTTTTTTTCTTTATAAAATTTTCGATATACAGGTTAAGTCAACTATATGGGTCCCATTTTTTAGTCAGCTATGTAGCAAAAAAAAAAAAAAAAAAAACTTAATTGCACTTAGATGCTCTATAGTTTCACCAACCTAGCATTTGAGTGATCTCTATTTAAAAATCAATCAAATAAATGCTCAAATGTATTTAAATATTGCGGATAAATATTCTAAAGTTTTTAGATGTTGCACTTTGGTACCCTCATGTTTACTCAATGTTTTATATCAATACCCTTAGTTTTAGATGTTCTCACTTAAATACCCTAAGGTTTTTAAAGTTATACTTTAATACCCTCTGTTATGTGGTGTTATTCCATATGCATAGAAACAAAGTTCTTTTTTATTTTAGGTCATACATTTGCAATATTTAAATATTTTAAAGTATTTATATGCTCAGTTTTAAATTGAGATCAATTAAGTGCAAGTTTGGTGAAACAACAAAATTAGCAGATTGATATATTTTATTGATCCTTAATGATATATTTGTATATTTTGTTACTCCGGCGATAATTTGGTATATTATGTAGAATATGATGACAAATTAGCCTATATTTTGGTTGGAGCTTAGATTTCGGCCAAACTGAGTCATGTGACTCATCACATACAACTGATGTGGATTAAGTGAGCTTATGTGGTGGAGTAACTGAATAAAAGAAAACCCAACACCCCACCCCCAAAAAAATTCTCTATTTCCCCTCTTTTTTCTCTATTCATGTGAGGGAGGAGATGAATCTTCCAAAAAATTGCTGAAATTCCCATTGTGCATAGTGTTATTTAACAGGTTTAATTTCTTGATTTGGCTATAATATGGTTCATTTGTGTAAATTTTGGCTTTTCAATTCAGTGAGACATTAGTTTACTTCTTCCATGCTCATACTTGAGCTTGACCTTGAGCAAAAACTTGAGGATAAATAATCTAACTCCAAGTTTTGAGTTACCCTAGTCAATTTAGTCCTAGGAGAAAGAACCAAAAATTCACAATTTGAGCCCTAATTTTAAGCTCTAATTTTAGAAAAACCTATTTTAGCAATTTAATTGATGGTAATTACCGCCACGTTGATAGCCATGTGGACCGCAAATGAGGATCACGTGACTCAATTTGATTGGAATATTGGCTCAGCCTAAAATATAAGCGCATTTGTTGTTATAGTCCTAATAAAATAATAACTTATCACTGGAGGAAAAAAATATAATAATATTTTACTAAGAGCCTGTTTGGATTTGTAGGGGTGAAGGGAAGTTAAGAGAAACTAGGTGAGAGAATGGAAGGGAAAGGGAAGGGAGTTCCCTTCCCCCTGCTTACACCCAAATTTGGGGTAACAAATTTTATACTATTAGGGGGTGAACCAAGGGGAACTAGGGTGAATAACTTCACCTTCTAAATGTTTCCAAACAAGATGAATGGAGGTTCCCAAACAAGATGAATGGATGTGAATGGTTCACCTAAATTCCTTTCACCCTTATTCTCCTCAGTCCAAACAATTCCTAAGAGTGAACAAAATATATGAATCTGATAATTTTGCATTGGTGAAACTATTAAGACATTTAAGTCCAATTTAGCCCCCAAAATACCCCAAAAATGCCCATAAAATGGAAGAAGATAATGACAAGACTAGATTTTCATTTGACCCTTTCAGCAAAACTCTGGAGCTCCAGCCATGGCGACTGACCTTAAAGTGATCGGAGTGATCGGCGGTGGGCAGATGGGATCCGGCATCGCCCAGCTCGCCGCCGTCGCCGGATTCGATGTCTGGCACCATGATTCCGATCCTGGCGCTCTTACAAGAGCAACCCAAAGTATTTCTTCCTCTATCAACCGCTTCATCTCCAAAGGCCAGATCTCTCAGGTATTATTCACTTTTGCCTTTCTTAGTTTCCTTTTTCTCTTATGGGTAGATCAATTCCATACGTTAAGATTCATTTTTAGATTCCAAATAACACTCAGATAGCTTGGATACTTAGAAAAATAAGTTCTATTTTGTGACTGTTTGATAAAATCGACGTTAGTTTTCTTCAGGAATATCAGAGTAGACAAGTGAATGAGAACAAAGTTTCTTACCAAATTTCAGTTTTTTGAGTTTTGGGAAAGTTAGGAACAAAGTTAAGGCCTTGAGGTATCAAATTGTCAAATTAACTTCAGTTTGAAAAGTGTAGGGTGTCAAATTGTCAAAAGGGGTATCAAATTGTCAAATTAACTTCAGTTTGAAAAGTTTAGGTGTGTCAAATTGTCAAAATAGAACTTCAGGGTTTCAAAGTTAAAAAAACGGTTGATAATTTTGGTATTAAAGTGCAAATAATCCCTACTTTTATAGTAAGTGCAACGCATATTTTCTCAGTGTAAGATGTTTGCTATGCTGTTAACTCTTTTTTCCCCTATTTTCAGGGAGCAGGTAGAGATGCTATAAATCGTGTTAGATGCACATTGAAGTTGGATGATCTGCGTGATTCAGATGTTATAATTGAAGCTATTGTAGAATCTGAAGATGTTAAGAAGAAATTGTTTTCTGAACTTGATAAGATTGTAAAGGTTTCTACAATTTTAGCATCAAATACTAGTTCAATATCCATTACCCGCATTGCTTCAGCAACTAGACGCCCCTCGCAGGTACAATTATCCAATCATGTTATAATATCCCTCCTTTATAGTTTATATATAATGAGAAATTGGTGGTTGTGGCAGTTTGTTGAAATTTAGGAATAATTACTCTATTTTCCAATTAGTTTGAAATTCTGATTGATTCTAAGGATATATTAGGAAAGGATAATCATTTATCTATCAAGATTTCAACAGTGTTGAATTTGCAATTTCAATTGATTCTAATTGACATCAAGATTTATTAAGTTATCTGCTCAGAGATGTTATATTTTTATAGCATCTATAACTTAGACCTTTCAATTTTCATGAGTTTTTGAAATTTCAAAAATATATCACTTCCATCCAAATCCTTAAAAACTAAAACGCCCATAAAATGGGACGCGGCTTAACTCCACCTAAAACGCCCATAAAATGGGACGTGCCTTAACTGCACCTACTCAATCCAAGTCCAATCTGTATATGAATTCCTAAGGGGTTAATTTCACATAATCTCCTTAGATTTTGTTTCCTTAATCATGTTTATCTGATACAACCCCCTTGATCTTAAGGGTGTCTCATAAAACCCTCTGAACTTTCATCTTTTCTCACTGGACACCACTGCCTGTTTGCAAATAACAAAAATGTCCTTGAGAGAAAAAAATCTCAAAATTTCTCATTTTCATATCCAGGTGACATACCTCCTTTCCTAAAATTTGGAATTTTTTTTCTTTGAAGAAAGTTTTACTTATTTGCAAATTAATGCAGCTAGTGAGAAAAGTTTCAAAGTTCAAGTTTTATGGGAATCCCAAAGTTCAATGAGTTATGTGAAATAAACAAACTTCAAAGGAGTTATGGAAAAACCCACCAAAATTTAGGGGGTTATGGGAAATTAACCCATTTCTAAGAGACTGGACCCTATGGAGACTAGAGCCCATAGAAGCAAAAGAAAAGAAAAGGCCATAAAAGCATAATTGTATAGGAACACTTTACATTATAGTATTAGGAATTTTTATATTTACATATTATATTCTTGGCTTTTTTCTTATTTATATATTGCATAGACCGAACACGCAATTATTCTTGGGGGATTTTAGTCTCCCCGCGTATTACGATCTTCACAACTCGGAAGTCAATTCACAATCAACAAGATATAAAATAACCACAATCAAGAAGAAAGAACACCAAGATTTACGTGGTTTGGTCGACCAACTTCGGCCTACGTCCACGGGGTAATAATACTAGAAATCCACTATGTATCAGGGAGAACTATAAGAGAAACCACTCAACTCTCGTCTCTCAACCTCACATACATAATCAACTCTCATATTCTCTTCAAAACCCACTCCTTACAATCTTTTTAACGGACATAGACTGTGAAACCTCTCCCAATATTGTAATCTTTTGCATGGATAAAGATCACGAAACTCTCGCCTCTTTCACAATATTCTTGAATCAAGCTACGTCCCCTGCTAACCCCGGATCATAAGAATATTGGCTTTCTCCCTTCTCCTTTTTCTTTTTTATCTAACAATTGAAGATTATATATGGGGAAACCAAAATCCCATCTTTAACCTAACTTCCTAATTAAAATAGGATTTAAACTCCTAATCATGATGAGCCCCAATCTCCTAATCATGATAGATCTCTAACCATGTCTAGTTTTCATGAAGTTATACAAAGAATCAAAGACAATCCCAATAATCTTCATATTAGATTTAATTCTCAAACTCCCTGGAAGATATATCATCATCATCTTGAAACTTTGTCTCTCCCGCTAGCATCTTCTATTTCTTTTATACTTCAATTTGAAGCATCTGCACTCCTAATTGGAGCACCTGTACTCCAACTGGGACGTCCCGTGACTCTCGCTATCGTCTGCCTCGCCGTGGCGCCTCCACCTCTCTTGTGTACACTAAGAGATCTTTGCCACCTCTGACCTTAAAAGAAAATCAACCATGTTTCTCCTCTAGAACTAAACTTGACAATAGCCTTCCCCCACTCGCTATCCATGTACTCCACATGCATCGCTCGTCTCGAATCATATCAGTACACCTCTCCTACTCCACACTATGAGCCAGATGCCTCTATCTCCTCCATCACTTGGCTTGGACCGAATATGAGCGCTTATCGTCTTCAAGTCCAATGCCAATATCTTCATCAACATGTGCGTCACTTGGCCGTGTCTGCTTGTAGGCTCCATCTAAACTGACAGTGTCCTCCTTGAGTCTACACACCAACCAACTCCTGCTCTAACGACGACTCTAAATAATTATATGCTGACAACTCTACTGCTAGAATCAAGTTTGATTCGCTACACTATTCTCATCCGTCGCATACTCTTTTGCCCTATTTGCCATCAGATATGTCTCATTACCGCTATCAGAACTTATCAATACTTTCTGACCAATCTGAGCAAAATCTGAAAAATCAACCCCTCCCATCGCGCTCAGAGCACTCCAAAACGTGGGGATCAACTCTGAGATCGTTGCCTCCAAACCCTCGATTAAAAGATAAATTAACCTGCACTGTTAGATTTGATTTAATAATTTTTAATTAAACCCTCACCCATGTGAACAGTGTTCTCGTTGCTAAAGTGTTCCCGGTGCTACAATACCTTCTTTTTTTGATTTTTCTTCATATTGATTCTTGTAACGCCGATCTTCAATCTCGCATGACGACGACTTCTATCTTGAAAACTAATTCCCGGATTCATCACCATGGCCCTGATACTACTTGTTGCGGAATTTTAGTCTCCGCGTACTACGATCTTCGCAACTCAGAAGCCAATCCATAATCAACAAGATATAAAACAGTTACAATCAAGAAGAAAGAACACCGATATTTACATGGTTCGGTCAACCAATTTCGACATACGTCCACGGGGCAATAATATGAGAAATCCACCATGTATCAGAGAGAAATACAAGAGGAACCACTTAACACTCGTCTCTTAATCTCTCAACCTCACATACATAATCAACTCTCATATTCTCTCCAAAACTCACTCATTACAATCTTTTGAACGTACAAAGGATGCGAAACCCTCTCTCAATGTTGTAATCTTTTGCATGGATAAAGACCACGAAACCCTCGCCTCTTGCACAATATTCTTGAATCAAGCTACGCGCTCTGCTAACCCTGGATCATAAGAATATTGGCTTTCTCCCTTTTCCTTTTTGTTTTTCCTCTAATAATAGAAGAATATATATAGGAAAACCAAAACTCTATCTCTAACCTAACTTCCTAATTAGAATAGGATTCAAACTCTTAATCATGATGAAACTCAATCTCCTAATCATGATAAATCTCTAACATTATCTAATTCTCATGAAGTTATACAAAGAATTAAAGACATAATCGCAACAATTATATGCAAAATTACTATAAGCAATTTCAATTTAGAACGGAAATCTAAATGAAACAAAATTCCTGATATATAAATCAAAGAAATCAGACCGACCCGTGCAAGCAAGGGCATGACACTTATTCATTAATATGATCAAATAAACTATCCCACTTGAATTATGACTATTCAATTGCATATCATTTCATTAATGTGATAAAATAAACCATCCCACTTGAAATATAACTATTCAATTGCATATCATTCTATTAATATGATCAAATAAACCATCCCACTTGAATTATAACTATTCAATTGCATATCAGCTGTTGTTCAACCAGATTGGTTATCGTATTATAAAAATGCGTTGACTTTTTGCATTTGGTCTAATACCTGTTTCTCATTTGGTTCAATCAGAGACCTTTTTTATGTTCAGCACAAAATTATCAAAACTATTTTATTCGGGAGGCTTAACACTGCAGATTGGAAAACTGTTATAAACTTTATTCTTCTCTTTGTAAATTATCCAACGATATGGTTGAAACTTTTTCCTTTTTCCATTTTCTTGCAGGTGATAGGCATGCATTTTATGAATCCCCCTCCTATCATGAAATTGGTGGAGATAGTGAGAGGAGCAGATACATCTGATGAGGTATTTGCGACAATAAAGGCCTTGGCGGAAAAGTAAGCTTGATATTCTTTTATCATACAGCCGTCCCGATAGTTGAGATGGTCAGTCATAACTCTATTGTTCCATGGCTGCTTTTGTCTTCAGATACCCTGGCAATTATAGAAAATTGTTTTACTGCTTGTAGTTCTTCTAAGGTTATTATTTTAATTTCCTATGCTTTGCCTGCTCTCCAAGAATTAATTTTCTGTCAAATGCTGTTTAAAGTTCTAGTAAGTTTTAATACCTCTAGTCATATCATATAGGAAGATCTAGGTCAATGGAAACACAAGTGAGCTCAATGAATTATCAAATCACCAGCTTCTAGCTGCGTGATCTTTTAAATTTATGCATGGTGACCAATTATTTTTCTATTTTCTATCAGACTGTATGAGGCTATGCGCCATGTATAATCTATAATATCATCTTTTGTGTCTTATTATTAAGCTGACAACTTGATACGCCTGGCCAAGTTTTTCCCACTTTTGTGAAAGAATAAAGTAAAGATATATGAAAATAAACACCTTACACTTATTATTTAGATTCTCTCCTTTTCAAATTAACTACAGTATGCCTCAAGAAATAGTTTTTCACAGTCATCAGTAGAATTTTGAGTAATTATTGTCATTGGGCCGTTGGGCAAAAGCTGTTAATACTATCCATAGAAAACTTGATACTATTTTTATCCTTTTTTTATTGCTATGCTATATGCAGGTTTGGCAAGACTGTAGTTTTCTCCCACGATTATCCTGGCTTCATCGTGAACCGCATTCTAATGCCAATGATCAACGAAGCATTTCACACATTATATACAGGTGTAGCAACTAAAGAGGACATCGATACAGCAATGAAGCTCGGAACTAATCAGCCAATGGGCCCATTGGCACTTGCAGATCTCATTGGGTTGGATGTATGCCTTAATATAATGAAAGTACTTCATCAAGGGCTCGGGGATAGCAAATATAATCCCTGCCCACTCCTTGTTCAGTATGTTGATGCTGGTAGGCTTGGAAAGAAGAGGGGCATTGGGGTTTATTCATATAAGAAAGAGGTCCCAGCGGTTAAACCGCTGTCCTCGCTGTGATCAATATCTCACAGTGAAAATATCTGAAGCATGGGATCGAGAGGAAATTGATGTTGTTGAAAGTAAATTAATACAGGGTAAGGGTAGTGCTATGTTTGTATGCACAACTGATTTGGATGTCTGTGCGCTTCTGCTCAAAACTATTTTGTGTTGTTGTGTACTCAAATAAAAAAGAGGAGAAATTTGGGTGAAATACTATTTCAGCAAATACTTCCATTTCGGGTTGAACGGTGGTATGCAGCCCCACGTTCCATTAAGGGCATCTCCAACGCAGCGGCATTTTGTCGCTGCGTTGAACTGTTTCTGTTGGATTTAATCTAATAAATCTATTTGTGGGCACATATGATTAATCAATGTGTATTGCTATCTTTCAGGATAACCCACTAAAGTGATCAATTAAGTTGGGTTAATTTGGTATTTAAATAAGTCATGGGGTTATATGTGCAGATACCAGGTTGTAATTGTAATTTATTGAGGGGCTAAATTACAAAAGTACAACATCTATAAATAAGGGGTTATGGTCCCTAACCTAGGGTCACATTCTCTAATTCTCTACACCCCCATCTAGTTAGAGAAATTCGGATTTTAGAGGAACCCTAAGGTTAGAAGATCCAAAACCCAAAATCAAGATCAATCTATGGATTCAGGTATAAGCTTCCGCTCTCTTTTGATTATTGTTAATCTCTTTGAATTAATCATGGCTATATGGTTTTAGATCTCAAGTTTTATGATGTAGATCTAACAAGTGGTATCAGAGCCACCTTGATTAATTCTTAGGGATTTAAGTTTTATTGGGTTTTTGATCTTAAATCTCTGGTTAAAGATTCAATTTTTGGGTTCGGATGAACAGTAATGTTCTCGGATGAACAGTAACGAAATTTTTTTTCGGATGAACAGTAAAGTATTTTTCGGATGAACAGTAACTGAAAAATCGCGTTCGTTCAATCTTAACCGAACTTCGCGTTCAGTTCTCAGCTGAGCATCGCGCTCAAGTTTAACGAACCTCGCGTTCGTTCTTAAGGTGAGCCTCGCGCTCAGGATTAAGGTGAGCCTCGCGCTCAAATTTTAACGAACCTCGCGTTCGTTCTAAAGTGAACCTCGCGTTCAACTCAGGTGAGCGTCAAGCTCAATTTTAACGAACCTCGCGTTCGTTCTAAGGTGAACCTCGCGTTCAACTCAGGTGAGCGTCAAGCTCAATTTTAACGAACCTCGCGTCTTTAAACGAACCTCACGTTCGTTCCCAAGTTGAACCTCACGTTCTTTTATCAAACGAACCTCGCGTTCGTTCATTTTCAGACGAACCTCGCGTTCGTGCTTAAGTGAGTCTCGTACTCAATACATCAGACGAACCTCGCGTTCGTACTTCAGACGAACCTCGCGTTCGTACTTCAGACGAACCTCGCGTTCGTACTTCAGACGAACCTCGCGTTCGTACTTCAGACGAACCTCGCGTTCGTACTTCAGACGAACCTCGCGTTCGTACTTCAGACGAACCTCGCGTTCGTACTTCAGACGAACCTCGCGTTCATTTTTTAAACGAACCTCGCGTTCGTTCCCAAGTTGAACCTCGCGTTCTTTTATCAAACGAACCTCGCGTTCGTTCATTTTCAGACGAACCTCGCGTTCGTGCTTAAGTGAGTCTCGTACTCAATACAGTCGAACCTCGCGTTCGAAGTTAAGGGAACTTCGTGTTCATTATGGTTAAGCCTCGGCTTTTCATGGGTCCACTTTGGTATACTTAATTTATTCAATTAAGTTATGGGCCCTAATTAAGCTGTGAGACCCCAATTAAGTTTTTGGAAATTCAGTTGATTTTGATTTAAATTTTTAATTTAAATCTAATTCGGTTTTTTAATCAATTATTTAATTCAAATATTATGACACTAAGGTATTAAGGTTGTCTCTCACTCCAATTGATTAATTGAAGCAATAAGTTGCCAAAGTAACCTCTCTTGTGTAGATTGTTCATGAGGAATGTGAGATGTTTGTGTGTATGCTTTCGTGTAAATATTTAATCGGCCCAAAGGAAGGTTAATATTTATTTAGACTGTATACACATCTGCGATGATAAGCGTGTGACAATTATAAGGTTTACATGTGAATAATGAATCGATCCAAAGATAGTTTCATTATTTGACATGAGTTATTGTCAATGTTTGATCATTGCAACAAGGTATCACTTACAAGTTAATATTACTGTCCAAAGACTTGATATTAATGTTGTGCCGGTATCTTGGATGGGGATTGTCATTATTTGAATTTTATTGATTATGGTTATTGATGTGAGCATTCTTTTGTTTTATTTCAGCTAATGCATCTGCTGCAACAATTTCTGCTAACATCAACTCAATTCCCATGCTAAATGGGACAAACTTCAAGGTTTGGAAAGAGAACATATTAATTGTTCTTGGCTGCATGGATCTTGACTATGCATTAAGAACTGAACAACCCCAACCTCTCAATGCGGATAGCACTCCTGATGCAAAGAAGGAGCATGAGAAGTGGGAGCGTTCAAATCGCATGAGTCTTATGATCATTAAGCGCGGCGTTCCGGAAGCCTTCAGGGGCATAGAATCCGAAGGGATTACTAAGGCTAAAGATTTCCTTGCCGAAATTGAGAAGCGTTTTGCGAAAAACGATAAGGTAGAAACAAGCACGCTTTTAGCTCGCTTGATTTCAATGAAGTATAAGGGCAAAGGAAATATCAGGGAGTACATTATGGAAATGTCTCATATTGCTTCAAAGCTTAAGGCACTTAAACTCGATCTTTGTGACGAGTTATTAGTGCATCTGGTTTTGTTGTCTCTTCCTGCACAGTTTAACCAATTTAAGGTCAGTTATAACTGTCAAAAGGAGAAATGGACTCTAAATGAGCTCATTTCATACTGTGTGCAAGAAGAAGACAGGTTGAAGCAAGATAAGACAGAAAGTGCTCATTTGGCCTATGCCTCTAAGGATAAGGGCAAGAAAAGGAAGAATGATAAGGAAGCTGCTAAGGGTCCAGTTGAGAAGAAACAACATAAGGATAATCAGGGTTGTTTCTTCTGTAAGAAGCCTGGACATGTAAAGAAGGACTGTACAAAATATCACGCCTGGCGTGATAATAAGGGTACGTTCCTTGCTTTGGTCTGTTCTGAGGTTAATTTAGCTTCAGTACCTAGAAACACTTGGTGGTTAGACTCTGGTGCTACTACTCACATAAGTGTTTCTATGCAGGGTTGCCTGAGCTACCGAAAGCCAAGTGATGTTGAAAGACACATCTTTGTGGGCGACGGACAATCGGTAGATGTGGAAGCAATTGGGCACTTTAGGTTGTTGTTAGGAACTGGTTATTATTTGGATTTAAAAGATACTTTTGTAGTACCGTCTTTTAGACGGAATTTGGTTTCTGTTTCTGTATTGGACAAATCAGGTTATTCTTGTTCATTTGGAAACAGTCAATTCAGTTTATCTTTTAATTCAAATGTTGTGGGAACCGGTTACTTGAGTATTTATGACAACCTATATTTGCTTGATACAATTGCTTCTTACAATGAATCCTTGCATGTGGAATCACGTGGTACTAAGCGTAAATTAAATAAGGAAAATTCGGCGACATTATGGCATAAGCGCTTAGGTCATATCTCAAAAGGTAGAATTGAGCGTCTTGTGTCTGATGGCATTTTGGATTCCCTTGATTTTTCGGACTTCGACGTATGTGTTGAATGTATCAAGGGAAAACAGACCAAAGTGAAAAGATTAGGTGCCAACAGATCTTCGGATGTCTTAGAATTGATACATACGGATATTTGTGGGCCATTCCCTACGGAATCCTGGAATGGTCAACAATATTTTATATCATTCATAGACGATTACTCACGTTATGGGCACCTATATCTTATTCATGAAAAATCTGAGTCTCTGGACATGTTCAAAGCCTATAAAGCTGAAGTTGAGAATCAACTCAACAGAAGAATTAAAACCGTCAGATCTGATCGTGGTGGTGAGTACTACGGTAGATATGATGGTTCAGGTGAACAACGTCCAGGACCATTTGCTAGATACCTAGAGGAATACGGTATCGTCCCACAGTACACCATGCCGGGTTCACCTAGCATGAATGGTGTAGCTGAAAGACGAAACAGGACTCTTAAGGATATGGTAAGAAGTATGATTGCTCATTCTTCTTTACCAGAGTCACTCTGGGGAGAAGCACTTAAGACAGCAGCTTACATTCTGAATAGAGTACCAAGTAAAGCAGTTGCTAAAACACCTTATGAGCTTTGGACTGGTCGAAAGCCCAGTTTAAAGCATTTACATATTTGGGGATGTCCAGCTGAGGCAAGGCCTTATAGGCCAAATGAAAAGAAATTGGACTCCAAAACAGTTAGCAGCTACTTTATTGGATACTCTGAACGCTCTAGGGGCTTTAAGTTTTATGATCCCACTATAAGGAACATTTTTGAGACGGGAACAGCAACATTCTTTGAGGATGTTGAGTTTGGGGGGAGAAATAAGGTTAGAGACATTAGTTTTGAGGAGGAATTGGCTTCAGATCCAATCCATACAGTTACTTTTGACAATATTCAGGTTCCTATACCTGTTGTTGCTCAAGAAGTAAATCCGGAACCTCAAGATGATAATGTTGAACAACTCCCTGTTCCAGAAGAACAAACTCAACAACCTCAAGAACCAGTGCCATTAAGGAGATCCACGAGAGAAAGGAGAAATGCTATTCCGGATGATTATATTGTATTTCTCCAAGAACATGAGGAAAGTAGTGGAATGTTAGAAGATGATCCAATCAACTTCTCTCAGGCCATGAAAAGTTCTAACTCTCAACAGTGGATTGATGCCATGAATGAAGAGTACAAGTCTATGCAAGACAATAAGGTTTGGGAACTTGTCCCATTACCAGAAGGTGCAAAACCAATTGGTTGTAAATGGATTTTTAAAACCAAGCGGGATGCAAACGGTAATGTGGAGAGGTATAAGGCACGTCTTGTGGCTAAAGGCTATACTCAAAAGGAAGGCATTGATTATACAGAGACTTTCTCTCCGGTTTCATCGAAAGACTCTTTCAGAATAATCATGGCACTTGTTGCTCATTATGATCTTGAGTTACATCAGATGGATGTTAAGACTGCATTTCTCAATGGAGACATTGATGAGATGATCTATATGGTGCAACCAGAAAACTTTGTGTCGGGAGACCCAAAGAATATGGTCTGCAAATTAAGGAAATCCATCTATGGACTCAAGCAAGCTCCTCGTCAATGGTATCATAAGTTTCAACAAATAGTTATCTCGTTCGGTTTTGAGATGAACATTGTTGATGACTGTGTATATCACAAGTTCAGTGGGAGTAAGTATATTTTTCTGGTTCTGTATGTGGATGACATCTTGCTTGCCACTAATGATATAGGCATGTTGCACGAAACCAAGAGATTTCTATCAAAGAATTTTGAGATGAAAGATCTTGGGGACGCCTCTTTTATATTAGGGATCCAGATACATCGAGATCGCTCTCGGGGTATTCTTGGATTATCACAAAAGAGCTATATCGATAAGGTACTTAAAAGGTTTGGCATGCAAGATTGCAGACCAGGTGACACCCCTGTTGCTAAAGGAGACAAGTTTAGTCTCAATCAGTGCCCTAAAGGTAACCTTGAAATTCAGGAAATGCAGAAGATTCCTTATGCTTCGGCTGTAGGAAGTCTAATGTATGCTCAGGTATGTACGCGTCCGGATATTGCGTACATTGTTGGGATGTTAGGCAGATACTTAAGCAACCCTGGTATGGATCATTGGATAGCAGTCAAAAGGGTTATGAGGTATCTTCAGAAAACAAAAGATTACATGCTCACATACAGAAAATCAGAGAAATTAGAGGTCATTGGGTATTCGGACTCTGATTTTGCTGGATGCCAAGATAGCAGGAAGTCTACATCAGGCTACATTTATATGTTAGCAGGAGGAGCTATATCATGGAAAAGTGTCAAACAAACACTAGTAGCTTCCTCCACTATGGCAGCAGAATTTGTAGCTTGCTATGAGGCATCCAATCAGGGAATATGGCTGCGAAATTTTGTCACGGGACTGCGCATTTTGGAAAATGTTGAAAGACCACTAAGGCTATATTGTGACAATAAATCTGCAGTAATGTATTCCAATAACAACAGGAGCTCAACTAAGTCAAAACATATTGACATTAAGTTCCTGGTTGTGAAAGAAAGGGTACAGAGTGGACAGATATCCATAGAGCACATTGGGACAAACTCCATGATAGCTGATCCTCTTACTAAGGGATTGCCACCTAAGGTCTTTCATGAGCATACTGCTCATATGGGTGTGGTATTATTTGAGGATATTATGTTTTAGTGGGAGTTTGTATTTGTGGTGCTTTATGTTTGGTTGTATTGTCTGATCAGAATAAAGTATTCAGTTAAGACACTCTGTTACATTATGTTTGGTTTTGACCTCACTAAGGAGGACCAGTTGAAAATAGACATGTACTGATCACATTGCATGTAATTTTCATGCTGCACATCCATGATTGATCTATGTCGTTTGATTGTATTGGTATATGTGACCATTGATGGGTCGAGTCACGATAAATGTGACGAAGGCCGCTTTGATCCTATATTGATATAGTCAATGGACGAGATTGTTCGGAAATACCATTTCAGTGATAGCAATTTTTGAGCTCATAAGGTTATACACAGTTTAAGGAATCATATGGTGCCCAAGTGGGAGATTGTTGGATTTAATCTAATAAATCTATTTGTGGGCACATATGATTAATCAATGTGTATTGCTATCTTTCAGGATAACCCACTAAAGTGATCAATTAAGTTGGGTTAATGGGTATTTAAATATAATCATGGGGTTATATGTGCAGATACCAGGTTGTAATTGTGATTTATTGAGGGGCTAAATTACAAAAGTACAACATCTATAAATAAGGGGTTATGGTCCCTAACCTAGGGTCACATTCTCTAATTCTCTACACCCCCATCTAGCTAGAGAAATTCGGATTTTAGAGGAACCCTAAGGTTAGAAGATCCAAAACCCAAAATCAAGATCAATCTATGGATTCAGGTATAAGCTTCCGCTCTCTTTTGATTATTGTTAATTTCTTTGAATTAATCATGGCTATATGGTTTTAGATCTCAAGTTTTATGATGTAGATCTAACAGTTTCCCCTCCAACCGTGCCGCATTCTTTGCGGCACTTTGGAGCGGATGAACAGAAATATGGTGTCGTACTGTTCATCCGCGTTATTACTGTTCATTACTTTTAAATTTTTTTTTATATTTATTTTTTACTTTTTACTTAATATAAAAGTAGATAAAAGGGAATATACTGAGAATATACTGAGAATATTCTTTTTTGGTGTAAAAATTAGTGCAATGGGTTGGAGATGTATTACTGTTTGATGTGATTTTTGCATCATTTTGGTGCAAAAATTACACCATTTTGGTGCAATGGGTTGGAGATAGTCTAACACGAGTTTTTATTCTATTAACAAGAGTTTAACGCAACAACTCTAAAGTATATGAAAAAAGAAAGAAAAAAAAAACTCAAATAAAATAAGGCGAAGCTAACTGGGGCAAGATTAAAATGGAAAAAAGAAAAGAAAAGAAAGAAAACAGTAAGGTTGCATGGAGAAACTGTCACGTCGAATCAATCTCTCAGCTTCGTCTATGCTAAGCCTCTGAAAGGTTGGAACATCAGAACTGTATGTTAGAGACGCAGCTTTGATATGCTTGATAACAAGAAGATGGCATGTTATTGAAATTTATGTCCCCTCCTTCCAAAGAAACCAAGAACATTGCAGCCCAACTGACCGAAATGTCTCCAAAATACTTTCTCACGGTATAAATTTGGGTATCCTTCTCTTCTGTAAATTGAGGATTAAAATATTTTAAAATTAGCACGTGAACAAGTTAATATTTTGGAGAACATTCTCACGTTTGTATAACATAAAGTTTCATAGTGTAAATTTCGAACACTTTCATGGTACATAAGTGCTGCCAAAAACAAATGAGGGCATATAAGTGCAATGTTAAGGAACTATAAGGTATTTAAATGCTAATTAGCCATATTTTCCCCAGGGGCCAAAGTTAACCAGAAAAAGAGCTCGCTGATTGTCGTTAGATCAACTGTAACTTCTCTCTTTTCCTTCTCTCCTCTCCTCTTCTCACCTCTCGTCCATGGCGACGGCCAGTTTCCCCAAGTCTGGCGCCATTTCCCGAGGCTACAATTTCGCCTCAACATGGGAACAGGTACTGAATAATCCTTGCAAAACCCTAATTTATTGATCACTGATCCCTAATTCATCCCCAATTCTCAACAGCACGCTCCGCTGACGGAGAAACAACACGCCGCGATCGCATCGCTCTCCAATGCGGTCACCGAGCGCCCGTTCCCTCCAAATCTGGTGAAATTTCGAAAAATTTCTGATTTGATGCTTTTGTTGCTGTTGATTTTGTTTTGATCTGATTTTATTTCCTTTTTCAGTCTCAAGATCAGGTCACAGGCAAGGAAAGTAATGGTAATTCAACGGTTTCTATTGATGATTCAGCCAATAAGGCTGCTGCAATGGATGCTGTTCTGGTTAATACTCACCAGGTTTATTTCAATTCTTGTTAGTGATTCAGCAAGAGATTGGATAGGATCTGATAATAGATTCAGTTACTTAACAATTTTTTTATGAAAAATTTTGGGGAAGGCTTTGCATTGACTTGCTTGAAATGTCAGTTGATAGTTGCTTGTGTCTATCTTTCTTGTAGTTTTACAAATGGTTTTTGGATCTGGAATCAGCGATGAATTCAGAGGTTTGCGTTTTCAGTTTCTTACAACTTGTTGTCTATATAGTTTTGAAAAATAAGGTTGCAAATTTTCCTTTTTCATGAAAGACGGAGGAGAAGTATAATCTCTATGTCAATACATTGGTAGAGAGGATTCAGATATGTGATGGAATTCTTAATCAGGTATTTTTGATTATATCTTTGTTTCCTAAACAAAATTCCGTATGAAAACATAGCTCATTACTTTCACCATTTTAAATTGCTTTGTAAATGGTGTAAGCAGTTATTTTCTTTTGACTAATGCAGGTGGATGATACCCTCAAGTTATTAGATGAACTACAAATGCTACACCAGACTGTTGCAACAAAAACTAAAGCCTTGCATGATGCCTGCGATCGGTTGGTATGTCATTTTCTTTTATTTGTGTTTTGCTCTATGCACAATCGTTATCATCATGAAATATTTTTGCTGAATAATATATATAATGTCTTTTCAATGACTGAAAATTTTAATCTACTATGTGAGTTCAGTGCTCTCCTTTGTCTATCATCTTTTAAACTTGCATTTATTGTGTAGTTGGATCTAAGCGTTAAGTATTAAGTACTTATGTTTACGGAAAGTTTCTAAAAAATCTAAAGTTAGCAGCAATAATTGAAGTATCATCCAATGCAGATATTTATCAATCCTATGTTACCTTGCTTGATCTTAATCATGCCGATCCAATTAAGTCAAATTTGACTGATTCTATTGATATTTAACATTAACAACTGAACGAGGTGATATTGGCTAATAGTGACCAATATATTAAGGTAAAAAGTACCGATAATTTTCAATAGTGTTATACTGGGGCAAAATAAGACAAGAAATCTGTAGAAAGTTGGTGAATCATGGGAATTACTGAAACTTCTCCTATCGTTTTCTGATATTTCCAATTTGACAAAATCTCAAAAAGTTTTGAAACTGATACTATATATCAACAGCTGATGCTCAAAGCAATACCACGATTTCAAACCTTGGTTAGCATAATGAAAAGAAATTTAGGGTTAGTTTTACCTTGAAAGGCTTGGAATTTTTCAATATAAGACATCATTATCAGACAATCTTTCAAGTAAATCTAGAGTTAGATGACCAACTTACCGAAAACCCCTGATTCCTTGAATGCAACAAATTGCATCCCTCAGTGGTGTAGACATGTAATCTTTGTTATCTTCTAATTTGGAGAAATAACCTACTGTTTGCAGATAGCATTCTGCAAATACTGTGTGCATGGATCTGTAACCTTTGGTTCCAGAACAATTTTAAAGATGTAAAAAATATATACAAAGCATGAGATCATTCATTTCATTTGCTTCTTAAGTTCTATCAGCTTTCGTATTTATGTTTTCCTCATTCAAATTCTATGCATATTATTTTTGAATAGTAATTTTCTTCATGAGATTATTCTCTTTGCACTAATAATTTGTCAGCATGCTCTTTTTTTTCTTATTCACGGTGCAGTTGCTTGAAAAGCAGAGATTAGTTGATTTTGCAGAGGCGCTTCGAAGTAAGCTCAACTATTTTGATGAATTGGAGAATGTAAGGTTTGATTGATATGTCCCTCTTTTAGTAGTTGCTTTATTTGACCTGTAAACTTTTATGTACAAAACAGCTTCAGTGTTGTCAAAATAACAGTGAGTAATGCTGCACACTTGAACCTTAGATTATTAAAAATGAAGTGGTTGCATTTTAGTGAGGAGTATTATAATAGAATGTAGGTGTTTAGCTATTTAAATCTAGGAGGTCTTAGACAGGCTATTCCACTCCTTAAAAGGACAAGTAATAGTGGGGTATTGTTCTAGTATGTTTTATCCATTGGAGATTTCCGTAGCTTTTAGTTCTGATTGGCATATGCTGCAAAGATATACGAGGAGACAAAATGCATCACAGGATCATGTGGATGGATTTGATTGGACAAAGGGTATGTGATATCATAACAAGCTCAGATTAAAGCACTGAAGAAAGTTGTGCTAGTTACTAATTTTATAGAGGAGTTCTGTTTAGAAGCTGAGGGATATTCTAATAAAGAGCAAAAGATTTGGTTCTTTTTAAACTTACTATTATATGCTGCCATAGTTTAAGGTATACATGATGGTATTTGGCTCATGTAACATTTTGTTTTGCATTAAAATCTCATGCTAGCTTTTTGACATAGAATAAAATTCTAAGTTGAGTTTTAGTTAACAATCGATGCATATGCAATCTTGAGATGATGCCTGTGCAGGCACTCCGAAACGTGTTCTTAACTTTCTTGGTTTTTGTTGCTTATTAGCATTTCTTCATTTTTTGGGAAATGTTCTTTGCTTTAGTTGTTACAACATTTTTTCGTATGTACATAATATTACAGGTTAAGCTGTTGTCTACTGACAAGTAGCGGGCTGGGTCATATTTACTGCTTTTGGCCTTTTTTATCATTACATTGCAAGCAGATAGATTTTTCTGGGTCATATTTACTGCTTTTGGCCTTTTTTATCATTACATTGCAAGCAGATAGATTTTTCTTTTCTTCTATGCTTAATGTTCTGTTATTTAAATGGTCATACAGGTTTCTACCAATTTCTATTCTGCAAATATGAACATTGGGAATGGGCAGTTCCTTTCTCTACTGAAACGGCTCGATGACTGTATCTCGTAAGATTCTTATTTATAATCCAGTCCCCTTCCCATACTTGTTGCATTAATTTTATGTACCTTTGCAAAATTTAAGTGAGTCATCTTTTGTGGTCGGAAGCCTAGGTATGTTGAGAGCAACCCACAGTATGCAGAATCTGGTGTTTACTTGGTTAAGTTTCGACAACTCCAGGTACTTGAATGTTGTTTTTAATTGTATAATGAGCTCTATGCACCAGGATAATCTATTCTGGTTGTAGTTGAGAAAATAAACATGCTGCCTCTATTTCTTGCTTTTGTTCATATAGTCCCGAGCATTAGGCATGATTCGATCTCACGTACTTTCAGTTCTAAAAGGTGCTTCTTCACAGGTATTTTTTTAAATACATTTTGGCATGTACCTTTTAGCCAGAAAAGTTATTTAAACCCATTTTCCTGCTGTTCAGGTGCAAGCTGCTATTCGAGGCAGTGGTCCAAGCAAAATCTCTTTTTCAGAGGGTGTTGAAGCATCTGTTATCTATGTTCGCTTTAAGGCCACGGCTAGTGAGGTAGGGTTTCATTCGTTTCTTCATATATTTTGTTTCTCCCTTTTTCTTCTCCTTTAAATATCATGACTCATGAGTACAGTACATTAGAAACCAGCCAAACTAATTTGAAGAGAGTATGATTTTTTGTTTTATAATGGAAACCAAACTTTTAGATGAACTAGAGTGCTAATGATATCATATCTTTATCTGCATTTGCATTCTATCTTTATATATGGCAGAGGTGAGATACATGAATGAATTTTACTATTTGCAGCTCAAACCTATACTAGAAGAAATTGAAAGTAGGTCTTCAAGGAAAGAGTATCTCCAGATTCTTTCAGAATGTCACAAACTGTACTGTGAGCAGCGATTATCCCTGGTAGGTTTGATGGGACCGCATTATTGTTTGTGATAGTCATCAATACCCAAATCTATTCTGATTTATCTAACTTTTTTTTTCTTTGATGTTTTACGAATGCTATATAGATAAAAAGTATTGTGCAGCATCGTATCACTGAGTTTTCAAGGAAAGAGAAATTGCCATCATTAACTCGGTCTGGATGTGCATACCTAACGCAGGTGACTCAATATCCAATTCTACTATTTTATGTAATATGGTGCTTATGTCTTTAGTGAACAGGAAATGAGGAGTTGCTTTTTTTTGCATATCATTGTTGACATTTCTTTTAAATACCTGGACAAGGTTAATTTGTATATTTAACTTGTCAAGTTTTTAAATTACATCGGTAGTAGGCGATGGGCAATTTTTGAGTTTGTTGTTCTAACGCACTGCTTCTTGATCTTACCACTACAATCCTAGTCTTTGTTGTGGTTTGAGAATTTGGGTGTGAATTTAGCACATTTTTGTCTTTCTGTGGTGCTCGGAAGAACATGTGCATTGTGCTTCTGGACTTGGCTGTGCTTCCGTGCTATTTTCTTTCCTTTTATTTTATTGTTTTATACCATTTGATTTGCTGACACTACTTTCCTTCTCAGGTCTGCCAGCTTGAGCATCAGCTCTTTGCTCACTTTTTTCCTGTTTCTTCCAAAGAAGTCTCCGGTTTGGCTCCTTTAGTAGACCCTCTGTAAGTTTTAGTGCCTTTCTCTGTGTTGCATCCGGTTCCTACTTGGCTGAAACTTACATAAATAAGTGAAACTTTATGGCACTGCACTTTGCCAGCTGTTTCTTTCTGTTGCTTTGATTCATCAAATGGTATGTTTGTTCCTATTTAGAAACTTTACTTTGTTATCATTGTGGATGGTTAAGGGAAATGTCCATTTGGTTCTTCAGTCTGTTACACATCATGTTGATAGTTGTTCGTAAAATATCCTCCAAGTATGGAGCAGTGATCAATAGCCTGTTTCCACTTCTTGCCTCATATTATTATTATGATTACAAATGTCTGAGAAACAGCCTTCTCCATTTAGATGTTTGTTCTGTCAACATTACTAGAGATTTTCATATACTAGAGATTGGAGACAGTAGTCTAATTAACATTAGCCTTAATCCTAACTTCATAGATACAAACATTCTTAATTTCTATAAATTAGCCCTTGAAATTCTTGTTCAGATAAATTTTCGTCATTTCTCATTTACTCTTTCTTCTGTTGATTTTTTGGGACTTCCAGTGTTATCAGAACCATTTCTTTTGCTAGCTATACGGATTTCAACGGTGCTGACCATTGTATTGTATGATTGTTAACATTGGTTTAATGTGCTGTCAAAACTTGCAGATGCACGTACTTGTATGACATAATACGCCCTAAACTGATATATGAAGCAAATCTTGATACTCTTTGTGAACTTGCTGATATCCTGAAAATCGAAGTTCTAGGGGAGCAGCTTGGTAGACATAGCGAGTCACTTGCAGGGTTGAGAGCCACCCTTCAAAGGATTCTAGCAGATATTCATGAGAGATTGACATTTTGTGCTCGCACACACATTCGCGATCAGGTATTCCTCAGTGGAACACTATATAATTCTTTAGTCTGTGCTTCACTTATTAGTTTATGTGTTCCATTCTTTCTGTATCTACAGCTTTTCCATTAGCAATTTTCTTTCTTTTAATGCAACACTGTGGTGTGTTTTAACATAAGAGGAATAAGTTATGCTTACTGTAGATGGATTTGTTCATCCATTATCAGCAAATCTAGAAATAGATGGAAGTGCATTTTAGCAATTTTGACTAATAAATGAGCTGTAACATTGTGGAGATATATTGACTGGTACTTAAAACATTAATGTGGACGAAGGAGAACAAAGTATACAGAAAATAAGGATGTTGCAAACTTGTATTGATCTAGTTTGGCTTGCTTGACCACTCTATTAAACTTGCAAATGCCCAAGGATTTAATTTTGGATGCATGTTACACAATGTAATTGCATGCTTTGTAAGCATTACTGCTTAAAAAATTCTATACTTGTCAGCCGATTTTTTTCATAGTGATAATGTTCTCTTTTAACAGATTGCAAATTTCCATCCTTCTGAAGAAGATCTTGATTACCCTGCTAGGTTGGAAATATTTACTGAGACAACATCAGGCGTTGCGGTCAGTAACTTGTTCCCATGGTTTACCTTTCCTCTTAGATTGGAAGAGTGACGCTCCCAATTTTTTGTTATATTATGCATTATGTTGTGTAATTTTCATGTGTGTGCGTGTAGAGAAGCACTAAAGTTTTGTCTGGAAGTTCAGTATTGGTGCCTGCATTAGTTCACTTTGCAGAAACTCTCTTTTTCACTTCTCCGGAGACTGTCTCCTTAATGATTGTTGGATTCTTGAATCATGCTGGCACTCATAAAAGCTTTTAATTTTTCTTTGAACTACAGGTTGATGATAACTCTGACATTTTCAAAACCTGGTATCCTCCATTGGAGAAAACATTATCATGCCTATCAAAGTTGTATCATTGTTTGGAACCTCCAGTTTTTACTGGGTTAGCTCAGGTTTGTTTTGCTTGGCTTCTCTTAGAAATTCATTCCCTTGGTAAGAGGTTGTCTGATATATGCCCTTTGTTTTGCTATTATCCAGGAAGCTGTAGAATTCTGCTCGATATCCATACAGGTCAGGAACATGTTTCCTTCATTTCTTTTTCCTCTCTAACAATGGAATCTCACTTCGTTAGAATTACAGAAGGGTGTACAACAAAAATGACCAAAAACGATTCGCATTTTGATCATGAAACTTAATTTCCATTTTCCAGTTTTTAAAAGGAGTTTTTAAAAGCTCTAACTGTCTAACTCAACTGTAGAATAGTATTGCTAGGTAATCTGTTTTAACTGCAAAGCAAATTCATTTTTTTCAGACCCTTTCATAACTATGTATTATTTCATGATGTAGTGACACCACTAGGATTAAAAGCGGTATCTATTAACCTTTTTTAGCAGCAGGTGTCAAAAAGATGGAGTGAAATAACAATTAGATTATAGTAACTCTTACAAACAACATAGACCATTCTCCTCAGTCGAACAAATCAATTCTCCGCGGATTATTGTTTTATTTTTCTTCATCCACCCACATCTTACTGGTTGTGTTACCATATGAACTTGATATATACTGATGTAGCATACTGGAAAACTATTTTGAAGGTATATATTATTCAAAAGAATGTATAAGACACTGTTAAATGATGAAAATTGGAGGTATCTTTGTAAAAATAACCCATTCTCGTTATATTTACATCAGAAATTCCTTTATGATTCCTCATCTGAGCCTTCTGCTGATTATTCAATGGAAAAAATTGGTTCTACATTCTTCTTGAAGGTCATAAAAAAATTCTCATATTAGATGCATTGAACACATTCTCATACAAATAAAGTGTGTACAAGCTGAATGAATAATTGTGAAACATTTGATGCTCTATGACTTGTGTCCTTAAGCAGCTTATTGAATTTTCAGAATGCCAGTAAACTTGTCACAAAAAAGTCATCTACATTGGATGGACAACTATTTCTTGTTAAGCATCTCCTTATCTTGAGGGAACAGGTGATTTAGATAATCTTAATTTTATCGCGTGTAACTTCATTCTTAATTCTGATGCTGATTGCTTTTATGTTAAATTTTACTAACTACTGTTCCTAAATCTGATCAGATTGCGCCATTTGATATTGAATTCTCCGTCACTCACAAAGAGTTGGATTTCTCTCATTTGCTGGTGAGTACAAGTTGAGACTTCCTTTTGTGTGATAATTATACTCTAGTTAGTAGCTCCAAACTTGCTTCCATTTATTAAGGGAGCTTGGATGACTAGTTAATCCACTCGAGGTGGATGATAACACTGTCCATACAGTTTCTTTTATCTCCAGCACTTCACCTTCCAGTAAAAGTAGAGATTTAGGGTTAACTGAAGTTTGTCTAGTTAAAAAGCGCCGCTGCTGGCAAGAAAACTTTTTTCCTTTGGCATATGGTTTATCAAGAGCTTTTTTATGATGTTTTGATCTAAATTCTCTATGTTTGATGGCTAAATTTATACTATTTGTTTTTTCTTGATGTTAACTGTTAACATTGTACATATAATGAGATATTGATAATACTTTTGAGTTTTATGTCCATTGAGCCAACTAATTTCTGTTTTCCCTTGTTCCAGGAACATCTAAGGAGAATCCTCAGAGGTCAAGCCTCACTATTTGGATCATCCTCACTGGCTCGGAACTTCTCTCCACGTGTTCTAGAAAGTCAGATAGATGCCAGAAAGGTTTGGCAATCATTAAATTTGCTTTGGCTTGCGCATGATAGTGCGATTTGCAGACTTCATTAGATGCTTTAAAAGGTTCCATATTCAGGTTCATCTGCAGGTGTTTTTGGACCCTTACTCTTAAAATGCCTATTAGGTGTTATTGCCCTTTCTAATTCATTACTTCAATCAAATTGCGTGACTATATTGGCTTAGAAAGGATATTAGTAGGAAAACATACAAAGAAAGATTATGGCGTTAAAAACACTACTGGAATTTGAGAAAATAGTTATGGTCCGTGAAGTTGTGCTATAGAGAGGAAATATATGCAATTTGAGTACAAGTAACAAGCCATAGTTGGCAGCATAGTTAGCAGCATAATTTACGTATATCTCAACAGACTATTTATATGGTTTATCATCTATGTAATATTAATATATATTTTTTATCCATATTTGATGACAAGTTGGACTAAAACTTGAGATATTATTGCCAAATTTGAAATTTGTGAAGCTCCGGTATGTTCTGCTAGGAATCTGATGCTGTTTGGTCAAATTGAATTCTTTGTCTATGTGGCCAATGTGGTACATTATGATTGTTAAATCCTTGTTGGTCTCTAGTTTAACCTTGTATCTTCCAGTGGGAGGAATTTCATTATGTTGAATTAGCAAAGAGGACATTCAGTCTCTTCCATTTGATAGAGCATCCAACTTGGATGGAGACTGAAAGTAGTTGATGGGAGCTTCTTATAAACGTGAGCCTTAGCAATATACATATCGTAAATTATGCTGAAACCTAGGATATTAGCAACAGTACCGTCTATAGTTGTTAATACCTTTTGATTAGCAATATACATATCGTATGATAGAACAAGCTGAAAAAGTTATGACTTTTTATTAATATTGCAGAGAGGCAGTGGTTCCATGCAAATTGCATATTGTATTGCATAAGGTGTGAAATTTCTTTTATTTACAGGAAATAGAAAAAAGTCTGAAAGTGACATGTGAGGAATTCATCATGTGCATCACGAAGTTAGTTGTGGACCCAATGCTTTCGTTTGTTACCAAGGTAATGAATCTTCAACTAAGCACGTCAAATGATCTTGTTCTAACTTGTAAAATTAAATTGGAAAAGTTTGTTTAATCAGGTAATCCTTCAGCACTTGAGCAGATTATGTAAAACTGCTTTGTTTCATATATGGTTACCCTAACGTCTCACTCTTTGTCTAAAAGATATTTATACATTTAACAGAGCGTTCAAAAAAGTTCCAAAAAATGATTAAAGGGAAAGAAGACAAACAAAACAAAGTTCCTGACTTTTTTTAGTGTCATAACCTATTAATCATCTCAATCGTCTCTTCTTTAGCTTCCCATGAAATTTCTAGTCAGTGTTCTCAAGTCATACTGTAACTAACATGAACGTATTAGGTGTCTGAAAGTCTTGATTTCTTAAAAAAAGAAGTATATGATTATAACCTACGTATAATTTTCCAGGTCACTGCTGTAAAACATGCATTGTCCTCTGGTAGACAGGATCAGAAGCTAAACTCTGTTTTGGCAAAACCCCTCAGGGATCAAGCCTTTGCTACTCCAGAGAAAGTGGCTGAGCTTATTCAGAAGGTATGCGATACATCTCAACATTTTGATGATTTACTTACTGAATGTTAAATCATGATATCTGATGCAATGGTGACAGGTTAACACTGCTATGCAACAAGATTTGCCCAAAGTGATGACCAAGATGAAGCTTTATCTACAGAACCCATCCACGCGGATGATCTTGTTCAAACCCATCAAGTGAGTTCCTGTCATACATGCAGCAGAAGCTAGTTTTGATAATAAGCTGTGCGTTATGTTTTCTTTTGATAATTTACAAAGAAACTTGCGTTCTTAGTAACTTTTGCTGTGAAACTGATGCGAACTGTTGAAGAGATTTTGCTCTTCAAAATCTTCATATTAATAGTTTCCCAAATCTTTTCCCTAGATCTATCATATTTCAAATTAGTTCCCTAAATCTTTTCAAATGTTATGAAATTAGTGTCGTTGCTATATTTATCATCTAAATTGTTAATCATGGTTGGGTAGTTGTTAATAAGGAACGGGTAATTAGTTACCAAATCGACCAAAATTAATATCAAAATCCACCAAAATAAGATTCAAAATCAATAGATTTAAGTCTAAATTGCATAATATTTCCCCAATTTGTGCTCCCGTAAAGTTCCTTTTTTTTGTATTCCATGTAGAATGGGACAATGGAGTTTCAATTTTCATGTACTTTTCTATTTTTGGAAACAGTCTATTCGCATGTGGAGGTAAGGCTGCGTACATCTAACCCTCCCCATAGCCCACAATGATGGGAGCCTCGTGTACTAGGCTACCTTTATGTAGTTTTCTATTTAATAGTAGAATGGTAAAAATGAGATTCTTCCAATTTCTTGGAATTTTATATTAAAAAGTAGATATGTGAAATGAGTCCTGTATGTTCAATAAATTTGATATTCAAATTTTCTCCATTTTTTCTTATCAACCGGAATAAATTTAACAGTATAAGTTATAGCGTTTTGTCAATTTAATGGTAAAATTTATTCTTATTATACATTTCCGTATTTGATTGATGTATTGTATGACGTTGTATTTTGGTCCTCTGGAAATGAAATCCTGGCTCCGCTATATGTGTGTCTGTGAGACAACCTGAAGGTCTTTTACCGAGTAATTTTACGTACTATGATTCAGTCTCGTGCTGTCTGTTTTCGCTAGGCTTTTGGAAGATTCTCAAAAGAAGTGAAAAAAGAACTTGTTGGGGGTTAAACTGACTAGATGTCTTCGTCTGCTGAAGTTACATAACATATCTTTATTTTCCCATTGCTTTAACACTGGAGTGTGAAATATGATGATTTTATGGAAGTATAAGTTTGCCCTTTAATTTCCTGCACCACAGGACGAATATTGTGGAGGCTCATGCACAATTGCAGTCACTGATAAAATCCGATTACTCTGCTGAAGAAATGCAGGGCATGGGCATGGTGCCCATACAAGGCCTGCAGGCTCAGCTTGACAGCCTTCTCTAGACAAGCCAATGTCAACCGTTGTCCGTTTCATCACAGCTAGCACGGACTCAAGTGGTCTGCTTTTATCTGTTATTTGATTGCTGAATCTCATAGATGTGAGATTTTTGATGAGATGTGTACTGTTTTAGCTTTTGGTTGAGTAAGTTTGGTGCTTATGTTTTTACTATTATATGATATATATGGTTAGTTGTCGAGGGTAGCGGTAACCGATATTTCGAAGTCCACATTAGACTAATGAGACACGAGCTTCAAATGGCTGCTGTTAATTGAATCATGATGATTGTAATATTTAGTAGTTTTGTTTTGGCGTGAAAATGGGGGACTTCTTGAGTGAGATCTGCAGGCTTTGACTATCCCTGCTCGTACAAGGAAAATTGAGTGTTTAATAGAGATTAATTTTCTTATTCTTTTCTTTTGGGCGGGAATTATATATTTAATCAAATGTGCCCCATGGTCACTCATGAGCCGAAGATTTCACTCGATTATATTCTGTTTGCAAACAGAGGGAAATGTTTGAAATGAATGCAGTAGGGGTCCTAGTGGAGCGCAGCCTTAATTAAATGCACACCGTAGCCGAGGGTCACGGGGTACTGTGCTGGGTAGCGTGAACTGGAGGTCACCGCATTTACTCACTGCTCATCAGCAGACTCGAAACTGAAGACTACAGAGACCCAACCTCCTCTTTGCCCGGGTCAACTCGTTCTCCTTCTTCTCCGCCTTTTCAAGCTTTACTTGCATGTGAAACCTCCTCTCTCTCTCTCTCCACCCCACCTCCCATCCATGTGTGGGCCCCACGTGTCCACCTCTCAATATTGCACAGGTCCAAGTAGCTCCACCCATGTGGAAACAGCGGTCAGCAATTACTGTGGTGGAGGCCAGGCCTACTGTTTGAACAAGTTGCATCATCAGCTTCTAATAGTGCAGTTTATGGTTCCCAAGGTTTTGAGTTTAAGTGATCCGAGGAGCTTTTTCGTCGATGCTTTAGTTTAATAAAGATCAAGATTTGCTGGCCTAGCAGCCCTGTAGGTAGGAGGAATAGCAGTAGTGTTGACTTGTGCCTGAAACTGAGCCGTGATGATTGGTTTCTTCCTTTTTCGCTCTTTCATGATTTGCTTCATTGGGTTGTTTTTTTTTTTATTATTTTCTCGAAATTTTTTATTTTTATTTTTCAACTTTTGTATACTACATTCATGTAATCAACCTAAATCTAAATGCATCTTGGCATAAAGAGCAACTTCGTCTGGCTTAAGCCCCATGTTTGAATTCTTGAGCAAACATTCATAAATACACTCCTGTAGCTCAAGGGCGACCAAAAGTGAACCTTTGACATTCACCCGCCAGATCCCCACCAGATCCCTAATCCCGCCCGCTCACACCCTCCCCTCATTTATTACGCTCTTCATTTAAAATCTTACTAGTTATATCCCCAAAGAGAGCCAAAGACGAGAGCAAGCATTTAAAAAAGAGAAGCATTCCCTGTGACCAAAGCAGACCTGCTGAGTCCCCTCTGGTCTCCTCACCCACCCCCGCTGCCCACTCACCCACTCACCCACTCCACTCTACCCGTGGGCCCCACACTCCTCACTCCAAACCCCCGGATGCTGTCCGAGCTCTAGCTACAAAGAAGCTCTCAATCTTTCCAGTTCTACACAAAGCCGACAAACTTGTGTAAGCTTCAAGCTTCCCCCTCGTCATTAATAAGCTCTCTTGGAAAGCTCGCCTCCCCCCCTCCTTGAATCCAAACTCGTCGTTGGGTCCACAGGAAACCCTGCCTTCTATTCTAAGGTCTCCCCTTCTCTTCTCCCGATGACATTGGCATTTAATTGGATCTTTTGTTGTTATCTTAACTTGGGGTAGTTTGTTCTTTAGCCTTTTGCGCTTCTCCCTCACTGCGGTTTGTTTCTTTGCTTCTTTCTCCTTGACCCACCAAAAGAAATACCCAAATGCTCTCCCTTTTCTTCTTCTTCTTCTCCTTCTTGTTCCTCTTCAAATGGGCTTAGGTGAGCATTTTTGAATCAACACTTGGGTTTGATGCTCTTTATCACAAAGCCTTACTAATGGCTTCATCTTCTTCCTGTTTCTCTCTCGTCTCCAAATGGGCATTCTTATTTTCTCTCATTTACCCTTCATTAGTCCTGTCTTGTGACCCTAGTGATCTTGTAGCTCTTCAGTCCTTTGTCAGTAACCTGAGCAATGGCTCCATTGTTTCCACTTGGTCCGCTGAAACCCCGTGCTGCAATTGGGTTGGTGTCTACTGCAATAAGAGCTCGGATAGAGTTACAAAGCTCAGTCTTTCAGGCCTCGGGCTTGTTGGATCCATCTCGGGTTCTCTTGGCAATCTAACTCAGTTGAAATCACTGGACCTCTCTAGGAATTCTCTCGCCGGCGGCGTCCCGATTCAGCTCGGCAATCTCGTGAACGTTCAGGTCCTCAATCTGAGCTACAATGGACTCTGGGGTCATGTCACCGCACTTGGCTCTATGCAAGCTCTCGAATGGTTGGATCTGTCTTCGAATTCCTTCAATGGCTCGTTCTCTGATTTTAGTTTGGGCTTGCCCAATTTGTCATTCTTCAATATTAGCAATAACTCGATGAGTGGCTCAATTGGCTCTGATATCTGCATTGGCTCCAAATCTATTCGGGTTATTGATTTCTCGATGAATTTCTTCTCGGGCTCGCTTGCTGGCGACATGTTTGCTAATTGTGGCGGTTCTCTGAAAGAATTATACCTTGGTTTCAATTCTTTGTCAGGTAATCTCCCTGCCGAGCTCTTTGAGTTGGTTTCTTTGGAGAAGTTGTCGCTTGAATTTAATGAGTTTCTGGGTGGATTGGGCGAGAATTTGAGCAATCTATCAAGTTTGAGATCACTGATTTTGTCGGAGAATCGATTTTCTGGTCCAATTCCTGATGTGTTTGGTAATTTGACAATGCTTGAGAAGTTGATAGCTCCTTCCAATTCTTTCTCTGGCGATATTCCAAATTCTCTGTCTTTGTGTTCAGTGCTTAGAGAACTCGATTTGAGGAATAATTCTTTGGTGGGCCATCTTGATCTTGATTTCTCTAGCTTGCCATTGCTCACTTCTCTTGATCTTGCTAGTAATTTTCTGGAGGGCTCTCTTCCTGTCAGCCTCTCGACTTGTTCCAAGTTGGAAACTTTGAGCCTTGCTAAGAATGGATTATCTGGTGAAATTCCTACTGAATTTGGAAATCTTGAATCGCTCTCATTCCTTTCATTGTCAAATAACAGCTTCCATAATATAGCCAGCGCATTGGCAGTGCTCCGACAGTGTAAGAACCTTACAACATTGATCCTAACCAAGAATTTCAATGGCGAAGAGGTCCCTGAGTTCTCCATTGAGTTCCCACATCTTCAAATCCTTGCATTTGGCAATTGTGCTCTCCATGGTGAAATTCCCATTTGGTTGATGAGTTGTAAGAAGCTACAAGTCTTGGACCTGTCATGGAATCGTTTTCATGGGAGAATTCCTTCATGGATTGGACAACTCGAAAATTTGATCTATTTGGATATCTCTAACAATTCTCTTACCGGTGAAATCCCAAAGAGTTTGACTCAACTCAAGAGCCTCAGTCTTGCAAACAGCTTCACGAATGGCAGTTCGATAGTCATGCCTCTCTATGTTAAACGGAACGAAAGCGTTCTTGGGCTTCAATACAACCAAGTTTCAAGCTTCCCGCCATCTTTGTACTTGAATGACAATGGGATTAATGGTTCAATATGGCCAGAATTTGGGAAGCTAAAGGCCCTCCATGTATTGGATTTGAGCAGAAATAACATTTCGGGCATAATTCCTGACACAATCTCAGAGATGGAGAATTTGGAGATATTGGACCTCTCTTGCAATGATCTCAATGGTTCTATTCCTCAGTCTTTGAGCAAACTCACGTTCTTATCCAAGTTCAGTGTAGCCCATAATCACTTGGAGGGAGAAATTCCAACCGGTGGCCAATTCTTTAGCTTCTCAAATTCTAGCTTTGAGGGCAATCTAGGGTTATGTCGAGGACCAGACACTTGCAATAAAACCAAAGAAATTATTGGTATGACTCCAGAAATCTCATCAAAAATGAATGGTAGGGTTGGGAGAAAAAGCGTTCTTGGAATCACAATCAGCATCAGTGTGGGGATTGTAGTTCTCTTTATTGTCCTCTTGCTTAACTTGTCAAAGAAAGAGGCAATCGATCCAACAAACGAAGAAGATGAAGAAATAGAAGAAGGAGCATTTCGTCCTTCTGACTCTGGATCAAAGCTTGTCCTCTTCTTTCAAAACTCAGACAGCAACAAAGAGCTAACAATCAGCGATCTACTAAAATCCACAAACAATTTCGATCAAGCCAATATCATTGGATGTGGAGGATTCGGTCTAGTCTACAAAGCTTACCTCCCCAATGGAACCAAAACTGCAATCAAAAGACTTTCAGGTGATTGTGGTCAAATGGAAAGAGAATTTCGAGCAGAGGTAGAAGCACTCTCAAGAGCTCAACACAAAAACCTCGTCGCCCTAAAAGGCTACTGTCGTTATGGCAATGATCGACTCCTAATCTATTCCTACATGGAGAATGGAAGCCTTGATTATTGGCTTCACGAAAAATCAGATGGAGGCTCTCTTCTTAAATGGGACTCTAGGCTCAAAATAGCTCAAGGCTCAGCGAGAGGACTAGCTTACTTGCACAAAGTTTGCGAACCAAACATTATACACAGAGATGTGAAATCCAGCAACATTCTTCTTGATGAAAAATTCGAAGCGCATTTGGCGGATTTTGGACTTGCGAGGCTAATAAGGCCATATGATACTCATGTGACAACTGATTTGGTCGGTACTTTGGGATATATTCCACCTGAGTATAGTCAGACTCTGACTGCGACTTTGAGAGGAGATGTGTTTAGTTTTGGCGTTGTTTTGTTGGAGCTTTTGACGGGGAGAAGACCTGTGGACGTTTGTAAAGGTAGAGGGTGTAGAGATTTGGTGTCTTGGGTGTTGCAGATGAAAGCAGAGGGGAAAGAGGAGCAGGTTTTTGATGCTGTGATTTGGAGCAAGGCGAAAGAGAGAGAGTTGATGGTGGTTCTTGAGACTGCTTGTAGGTGTATCGTGTCGGATCCGAGGCATAGGCCGACGATTGATCAGGTTGTTATTTGGCTTGATGGGGTTGGTGTTGATTCTTGATTTTGGTTTTTCTAGTTTTTGTGTTTTAATGTTATATTTGCAAAGGATGCGAGTGAGAAACGACAGGGGGAGTGTTGGGATTCATAATTGTTCGGAGGTATAATAATGTAAATAAAATGTCCCTTTTCCATAACAATACCTTGAGTTCGATAATTTTTTTAGCCTTTCTCATGCATTATAGATGGTATATACCTGCAGGTCTTATTTTATGCAATCGGTTGGAGACTGTAATCTTGAATTTTGCGTTCAATGTTTTTTTTAGCTTCATGTTTTTAGCCCTTTTGTAACAAGTCTTTCTTCTTCTATATCAAAATATATTTGACTCTTTTGCATGGGTAATATATCGTAGCTTCTTTTCAGCAACATGTATAATTTGGCTTAGAATATTGTATAGAGAATTCCCTTTGCATCAGCATATTTGAATTCCATTTGTTGGGAAATTTAGTCTCCCCGTCTACTACAATATATCCAGCTCGAAAGCCAACTCACAATCAACAAGATAGAAAATAACCACAATCAAGAAGAAAGAACACCAAGATTTATGTAGTTCGGTCGACTAACACCAAGAAAATAACCACAATCAAGAAGAAGAAGTACTCAACTCTAGTCTCTCAATCACTCAACCTCACATACATAGTCAACTCTCATATTCTCTCCAAAGCCCTCTCGTTACAATTTTTTAAACGGACAAAGATTGTGAAACCCTCTTAATGATGTGATCTTTTGCACGAACAAAGACTATGAAACTCTCGTCTCTCGTACAATAATCTTGAATTAGGCTACGCCCTCTGCTAATCCTAGATTATAAGAATATTGGCTCTCTCTCTTTCTCTTCTTCTTATTTTTTCCCTCCAACAATAAAAGAATATATATATATATGGAAACCAAAACCTAATATCTAGCATAACTTCCTAATTAAAATAGGATTCAATTTCCTAATTATGATGAGACCCAATCATGATAGATCTCTAACCCTATCTAATTCTTATAAAATTATACAAAGAATCAAAGACACAATCTCAACACCATTGTCATGGATTTGTGGGAAGTACTTATTTCAGATAATATGTTATGTACTAACAATTTGATACTAGGCATCAATGGCAGAAAACCTTGCATCCCTCAAGCAAGTTTAACGGTTGATGACAAATCAAGGGGGAAAAAGCGTTAACTTTACAAAACTGCCTGCAACCTTTTTTTTGGGTTGGGGGTTTTCGGGATGGGGGTGGGGGGTGTTGGGCAAAACCCTCGTAACTTTGTTTATCTCACATAACCTCCGCATTTCTGGGATGGCTCACAAAACCCTCTTGAACTTTGAACTTTTCTCACTGAACCACCTACATGCAATTCGCAAATAAGTAAAATCTCTATGAGAGGAAAACAGTCCACAATTTAGGGGAGAAGGCATGTTGCCTGTAATTGACAAATGACAAAGTCTGAAATTTTCTCTCTCTGAGACATTTTCTCTCAAATGACAAAGTTATTTACAAATTATGACATGAGATAAGGTAAAATTCATGGAGTTTTGTGAGACGCCGTAAAGTTTGGGGGTGCTATTTGAGATAAACAAAGTTTAGAGGGGTTATGTGCCACACCCCCAAAGTTTGGGGGGGGGGTTGGGGGTTGGGGTGGG